GCAGCAAAGAGTATTGATAATATATTTATGTAATATTGGTCGAATATTATCAATTACCAGCCAATCTGAAGCTAATATAATATTTCGCATCCCAGTAAATATATCACGCAATATATTACTACAATATAGGTGAAATTTTGTTAAGCAAGCGGTATTTTGTTAATCGCGCATGTTTTTAATGTATTTGGCGCGAAGCTCTACCGAGTCTCCTAATCATGATAGATCTGTAATATTGGATAGATATTCCTTTTGCATATTACGGAGCAATATCCCAGAAATAATTGAAAATATTAACATTTAAATATCGAAGCAACATTCGCAATATTTACCAAATGGGTGGAGTAAAGTTAACCAATATTGTGCGAAAGAAAATTTCCAAATGGGAAGAGCTTTCACCGTCCAGTTTTCTCCGAGGCTCATCTATTCGTCGCAGTTATCTTTCCCGAAAATTTCCAAAATGACTTTCACACCCTATATCGGTCTAATGGCGGAAAAGGAAGTGATAACTATTCAGAGAAAATCCCGGAAGTGCCGTTAAGCCTTCCGGCTGGGAAGACCCGAAACTTTTATGACGTACGTTTCATTTGCTGACAATGAGAAAGTTTTGGAAAATCATGAAAGCGTTCAGAACCGGAACTAATCATACAGCAGTGACGAATTTTCAAATGCTCGATAAGTCGAAACCGTACACACGCACAATTCCTATTAAAAATAAGCGTAAATGCACTTTTAATCCTTCCGATGTACAATTATAGGAACAATTTACACCGCACGTTCATATACATCGTTTTTTGTTGCTGAACAGCAATTTTCCAGCGCAAAATTCCGCGAACAATCTACTCGAAATACAAGATCGACTGAAAGACTTACACATATCTTCTTTTATGCGCTCTTTTTTTTACCGTCACTGATAGAAAAAAAAAATAAGCTTTATACCAATTGTCAATGATACTCTACGGCCGGGAATTAAATCGTAACGATTTTTCCTGAAAACCTACCGCGAGTCCAAATTTTCATTTTCATAAAATCTTCGCAAAATATGTGCGACGTCAAATGCTCGATAAATCCAAACCGTGCACACGCACAATTCCTATTAAAAATAAGCGTAAATGCACTTTTAACCCTTCCGATGTACAATTATAGGAACAATTCACACCGCACGTTCATATACATCGTTTTTTGTTGCTGAACAGCAATTTTCCAGCGCAAAGTTCCGCGAACAATCTACTCGAAATACAAGATCGACTTTTATGTCGGTTTTACGAACATCGACTCAATGACTTACGCATATCTTCTTTTATGCGCTTCTTTTTTTCCCGTCGCTGATAGGAAAAAAAAAAGCTTTGTATCGATTGTCAATGATACTCTACGGCCGGGAATTAAATCGTTACGATTTTTTCTGAAAACCTACCGCGAGTCCAAATTTTCATTTTCATAAAATCTTCGAAAAATATGTGCGAAGTCGTTTCGTATATAGATAATTAATTGACATTACATAAGTGACTGAAATTGCCGGTATTGGTGTATTATCGAGGTTTGCAATTACTTTGTAAGAAGGTGTGTAGGTAAAATGGAATCTTTCTCGGTTTCCTTTTTACCCGGAACGGGAAACCTGTTTGTCGAAAGTCATACATGACGCTGAGTTACGGACTGGTACGAAGACATGTTTCATGGGAATATGAAATGGCGTATAAGTACTGCAAAACGAGTCGAAAATGGAACAGGTCCGCGTCAACAAAGTGATTATATAAAGTTGGGTATAAAATTGCTAAACTAAAATTACGTATTACACGTCCTTTTTTATAAAGTATTTCGTGTCGATCGCTTTTTTTCTTTTTTTTTAATCCTTCCTAAATTCGAGTTGACGATTAATACGCACGTTTCGTTTCGTGAGACTTTACTGGAACGGCTGAATTCGTTACAATGGCGTTAATCTATTTATCTGGCTAACAACAAACTTATCTCATGACTCATACTTGGCTGCTACGTATTCGAAGGAATTCGACTCCGTAGAATTGGATCGTATGTCGAGACAATTCACGACTGAGCCGACATTATTATTTCTGTAAATTGTCGGTAATAATTTCCGTACGGTCGAGATTTATTTATATTTTCAATTTCGAATTGTCCGGTCTCACTCGAAAAAAAACTGCAAATCTATTCATCCGCGGCCGAACATATTATTTCTGTAAATCAGTAATAATATCAGTACAGCCGAGATTCATTTATACTTTAATTTTCCAATTGTCCGGTCTCACTCGAAAACTGCAAATCTATTTATTCGCAGTTAGACGAGTGGAAAATAAAACCAGGAATATTATATCCCTTCCCAATCGTTGAGAAAGTAAATTGAAATAAACAATAGGTAATTGAAGAAATCTCAAAAAGCATGAAATGCAGATTTAATCTTTTTTTTTTTTAATGGGTGATTTTACTACACCGTGCAAATCGAAAGGCATGTAATTGCGGGCTATCTTGAATTTTTACAACTGTAAATACATGATAATAAAATGCGTGCCAGGTATGCCTAATCTATGTTTTTCTTAGACTTCTGGAATCAGAAGTCTAAGGCACGTACAACTCCTAGAAGCTGCAACAAATGCATTTTTCTCGAGATAAAGGTGCATTAACCTCATGGCATTCACCTGTCGCAGATTCCAGGTGAACAAACGCAGAACATTTCTTGAAATTTGCAATCCTCCTAAATTTTAAAATCGCATTTCAAGACTGCAATGACACGTCTCTAAGTACAGCATGAATACCATACGTTTTTGAAATAACGAAAGCAGACTTGCATGGAAAGTAATTATGGATAATTACCCTAAGCTTCGATGTCAATGCACCATTGACCATTTTATATGTCGCGTAAAAAAAGTGGCTCAAATTCGTATGTCACGGTATTATCCAACGGCACTCCGTGTCAATGAACATGTACAATTGTCAATAAAATTCACGCTGCTCTTCTTGAAATTTGCAATCCTTCTAAATTTAAAAATCGCATTTTAAGATTGCTATGACACGTCTCTAAGTGCAGAATGAACATCTTACGTTTTTAAAATAACGAAAGCAGACTTGCATGGAAAGTAATTATGGATAATTACCCTAAGCTTCGATGTCAATGCACCATTGACAATTTTATATGTCGCGTAAAAAAAGTGGCTCAAATTCGTATGTCACGGTATTATCCAACGGCACTCCGTGTCAATGAACACGTACTGTCGTCAATGAAATTTGCATATTATGCATCTGAAGTCGCCGCAGGGACAGAAACCACCTGTTGCACCTCGCGACATGTACACCCACGTATCCGGACTCTAAACTGCAAGGTCCTCGTGTTGCCCCGTGCACATATACATGCACAACACCGAACATGTCCGGAAAAGTCCGCGAGCTCATTCAAAGGCGGTGCAGAGAGTGCTCGTAGAGTTTCTTTAGACGATCCTCAATTAACAGACATTAAATTGGACTCGTAAGATGTAATAGGAAGTAATAGTATCAGCCTTGAATACCGCCTTCTTGCAGACCTAAACTAGGTTCGATTCGCAAAGCCGCAATTCCTTCGATCATTTTTCCGATCGTCAATTTTCCTCATCTAAGAGCTTTCGGAAAAGTCGTTAATTTATCAGAACATTGCGAGTAAATTTATCATTACGGAAGGACGTGACAATTGTAACGCGAAAGAGTTTTAGACCATAAATATGTGAATTTTGTATTAGCTGTTTAAAATAAAAACCACAAGTCAGTCAAATGTAATTATTAATTGGCAGTCATGCCCTGTCTACTTATGATAAATAAGAGCGTTTGTGAGAAAGAAAGTATGTGTTCATTTGTTTAACCTTGGTGAGAGATGTATATAAGTGCTGGTTAATTTTATTCGGATGTACATACATTTCTTAATTTTTTTTTGAAAAAGACATCTTCATTCTTCGGAGGCATTCATTTTAGTACGAATGCAATTCCATTTAGTGACCTTCGTAATTATTTTTCTGTTATATATATGAAATGGAAGGTTTGCAATGATAACATTCAGTTACAAATATCGCGTTGAAATAATTCAGTTTCTTATTAAATAATTTAATAGTTAAGGATAATTAATTTCTTTAATAGTGTATCGGAATGTTGAAATTCCATGAAATTGAATGGACGTTTGTCTTTTTTTGCTCAGTTTGAAGGAAAACCGACAAAATCATTCGCCGAGCAAAGCGAAGTCGAAGCTTTCTGGTATTGATGTACAAAAATTGCATGACGAAGTACAACGATTGTGTATGCGTGTCTATGTATATTTGAAACTTCTGCCTTTTATTGTTACAGTGATATCTTCCCGATGAATAAGAAATGTTAGACGTGAGAAGTATCGGTGACAATTTCTCAAGTCATGGTCCTGAAGTGACAACGTGTACATACGTTAATCATTATCTCACAATGGCGATGACTGAGCGAAAAATGTCATTGACACTTTGCTACCGTTCCGGGGAATATTTTGACGTGTCTCATTGATGATCTCTTAAAGCCCACCTTTCGTTACTATTTCATCTTTTGAACGTCGAGAAAATGCAGATACCATTTTTCCATAATTTCCGTATAAAATGCGTCGTCAAAATTTGGACAGTAATGCAATTGCACACATTTTGCCAAAATACGTTTCACCCTAATATCAACTAAGATTCCACCATTTCCTAGTCATTGTCTTTCCAAATTGTGTACAAACTGGTCTAGCATCTTCAATCAGAATGACACCAGATTAACCCTTAGAGTGATACGCAACACGATTGCGCCTCATAGAGCGAAACAACCGGATTGACAATTGCAAGGTTCAAATCATTTTTTTTTTTTTTCAAAAAATTCACGAGATTTTCCCGAAACATTAGATTCCACCCTCCATCCCTTCCGATTCTTAAACAAACTCCCACATCCCTGCATTACCACTTCCTGAAAAATCAAACGGTAGAGAGGGTGGAGGGGCGAGGACAGGTAAATCTCTGTTAAAAAGACGAGTCGTAAAAATTTTATATCAAAATATATTTGTGCATAGACAAGAAGACAACCGTGACAGGTAATCTCATACCCTACATGCATACCACACGCTCAACCACACACATACAATTCAACCGCATCCCAGCCAGACGCGCACATTCGTGCATCTACCATTCCTACCTCGCATTTTCATACCGATTCCATGACAACGAACAAAAATTCACTATATATAATAATAAATCTCTCTCTATATATATATATAAACCGACCGGCTCGCAACTATCAACAATCGAATGAACAATGAAGCCCGCTTCACACGTCAACGGTAACTTGTCTATTGCGGACATCGGCAAAGCCGTCCTCGTAGAACATCGGCACACACGTGCAGTCTCTCGAAACGCGTTTCCTAAATAAAATATATACGCAAATTAATCTAAACGGACACACGCACACCCAACCGTCCACACACCCACCTGTACCCGCGCTCACGTGGATCTCTCATTCGCTTTCTTTCACTCGTTCCTCCTAAGCGACCAACATTCCGCTCAGCTCATGCTCTCCCTCTCTCTCTTTAAACAAAATATATTAACTTTACGTACATCTCGGTTAAAATAAAATTAATAATAGCTATAATACAAGGTTGCGTACAACGATGCGAGTCGGCCGCACTCGTGTGTGTGGCCGAGCACGTGTTACGTATGAACAATGGTGTATACCCGTGGGTGGCTCTTCAGGATACAACGCGACGCGAGGTCGCGCGATATCCGCGACAACGATAAATACATCGAGAGTACTGCGAGATATGTCGATAGTAGGCTAGCCAATCGCATAGTCTCCGGCGATCCTGCATGTCCAGCCGCGCAAGTCCGATTGATTTAGCGTAACAATGAGCGAGATAGTAATCGGCGAGCCACTGATAAGGGTCCGCGGTAATCGGGATCGATCCTGGTCACAATTTTCATTTTCTTTTTTTTTTTTTAAACATCTTTGCGACTCGAGTAATGAAATTCCAAAGTGGAGCGATCCACCTTAACGCGATCGGTTCTGGAGTGGTGGGTGTCGAATGGGGATGAACAACGGGGATTCGTCTTGCTCGCAAGTTCATATTGTTCCAAATTTAATGGCGGTCGGTTCTGATAACGATAGCATTTAGACGGAACGGAATAATAAAACATAATTTACATGGTTTAACTACGAATCGAATTGGGTTTCCTGGGTCTAGTAGACGTGATGGACCAAATGTAATCTGATGTTAGGATTTGATCCGATGATCATCTAGGTGGATCGGCAATTTTATGAAGATTTAGTACATTTGAGGAACCCTAACCTAAATTCCCTGGATATAAGAGAGGTTCTTTTAGGAAGATCAGAAGTTACCCTGACATAACTAGATGATTAGGACGTCGACCCGCGGTTCAAAGGCTTTATTTAAGCTAAAATTTAATTATATTTGTAGATATCATTGGAGGAAGATTGATTCAGGTGAATGGAGTGCATCCACCTGAATCAAGATTCGTTGATACGGCAATCAGCACTGTTGAGAAGATTTGAGCATCAGTTTCCCCGCAGTTCCCGCCCCCCGACCTCCAGTCTTGCCTGGGAGCGTTCACACCCTATCCGACCACGTGTTGCGTATAAACAAAGGTGTAAACCGGCATTTCATGGGAACCCATAAAAAACAAGAGCGACGCATCAAAAGTCCACCGTACAATCCCGTAGTCCCCACGATGCAAACGGACAATTCAGCCGCGAAGATCTGGTGCTATCGCTCAATCGGTTTACCGCAACAGTAATCGCCAAACTACCCGACAATAAATACGTAAAACCAGCTCCGGATCGACCCTAACATTCTGCTAGAAATAAAATATAGAGCTTCGATATTAAGAAGGAAAAAGATAAGAATTGCACTTTGAGAGTGTTACAAATAACCCGCACGCGGTACCAGGTAGTCTTGCTGAGCGCCCCAAATCGGGGCTGTACCGCCAGAAGTATTGAAAGATTACGCTAATTATCAGTCGTTGCTGAAACATTAGTTGAGGATAACGAGACATAGCTGCAAGCTCGACCTGCGATCGAAAGGTCCAGCTAGAAAGCCGAGAAATTCTACACGAAAGCCGCGAGCCCAGCTTGCACCTGGTCTGCCGCCTGGCGACCAATTTAACGCGTCAACCGCGGATATAAAAAGGCGGTACCGCTCGATTAATTAACCGAAAACATTAAGATATAATCGCTACTAGTGGTCAGTCGTGATCAGGTAACGGCGATTGAACGAACGGCTCCAAATACAAATTTTCGGATCGCAGATAAAAGGCGGCCAGTTTGGTGTTCCCGAAGCCGTAGGCTTGGCTGGTAGCGTTCACACCTGCGCGTACTGACAATGAGTCCCGAAGATAGGAGGCGGTCGCTAGGGAATGGGAGATTCCCGTGCGAGGCGGCCTCAGTCTTATAATACGTGCCGACAGAGCGTGGTTAGGTACTAAAGAAGTTAGAAGAAAACAAAGTCGTGCCGCCGTCATCTCGTCGGCATGTCGCGTGCGTGGACCCTTTCACGAGGCGTAGAGATCACGAAATGGCGGCCCACGTGGGTGCCTTCCATGGATCTAGGAATAAAGGGACGAACAGTAGAGATAGATACCAACCCCAAATACCGCAGCCATCCCAATTTGCTACTTACACGCGTATAAAGTCGCATTTAACAGCAGCGACCGAAGTATACGTGCTACGTACACTTTGGCGTTTGTCTTATTGAACAACGACGAAGCGCCTGCCGAAAGGCCTAAGGATCGTGAAACTGCGTTCGTTGCGTCGTCCCCAAAGAGAGAAGAATTGCAAATGACGACGTTAACTCATGTACATCAAATTCAATTTATATTCGTTTGAAGCGCGACAGTTAGCAACGAAAGATGGCCGCCAGTCGTTCCCCTCCCCTTACGTCTCGTGCTTCACCCGCGAGCGATACTCTCCATCCGTTTCTTTTTAGATCCATGGTGCCTTCTTCTTGCGCGTTTCCAGTCCCGCGTCTGCACAAAAGATTTCTCGTCTCCCCTCGATCAGACTCCCGATAGAGTTCCTCGCGAGGACGGGAAGGCACTGTGTGTTTGCACTCGATCGTCCCTCGGGTTTCGGCTGTGTTCCCCGTCCTTCCGGGCCACCACTTCCGCCTATTGCCAAACAGTAACCCTTTGACTGGGAAATGGGTTGATGGGGCAAAGAAATTCAGAGTCGACCGTACACATTTCCGACCGAGCCTTGGAACTGAACCTTTTGCGACCCAACGTTTGGGTCATCGCTGATCATAGCAAAAGTTCACATGACTTTGTATCCCACAATTGCGTTTGGCATTAAAGACAGAGGAATGCTCTCAGTGCATGTTCTTCGCTGATGAAGGAAATTTATACCAAACAGATGTCTAGCATAACTTTGCATCACGAGCCACGTGTTTCTCATTTATCGGATTCATATGTACTGCCTATTAAAAGCGTTTCCCTCTGTCGCTAATGTTAAAAGAGACATTTCTTGCCCGATTAAAACATACGAGAAGCAGATCTTGTCATGTGAACATCCAGACAGAATCAAGAGTACCCGAATGCCGGACCTGATCGGATGGATCGGATCTCCGAATCTTGATTCTGTGAAATAAAGGGTTCGATCGAAACGTCAAACTCTAACCACGTGCCGCAAAGAGAAATGGTACAACAAAAGGTTGAATTCCGTAGCAAAGGTCGCGTAAACGTCTCGACCATGATCTAACTACGCATTAGGTCGTACCATCCCAGCACGCCTCATAGCGACTATCCCAACCAGTCTTCGGGTTAAAAGTCAATTTCGGACGTCGTAGTCAATTTAGGAATCTTTCGCGGAGTGCGCTCTCGCACGGCCTTATAAAGGTTCATCGGACCAAAGCCAGATAAAACGATCCCCCATAGAATCGGGGAAACCCGATCTAACAACGAGCCGAGCGAAAGAACCAACTCCCGATGGGAGGGTTTCGGAACAGGGACCCGGAAGTTACGCATGGGCCAAATCACAGCCGAATTCCCTTAGGATGGGCATAAGTTCCGAGAGGCGTCTTGGACAACCTCTGCTACATGGGTCCCACGGCGTGCTGCTGGAACTGGTCTAGATGCCTGGAGATTTCCCGATGAAGCTGCTCCGGAACGACCCCGACGCTGCTGAAGAGGGTCCTAAGGACGTTGAGTTCCTCGGTGAGGAGCTCGATTCTCTTCTTCAGCAGATCGTTGTCCTTAACCAACAGTTTGACCTTCTCCTCGGTCTCCCTGGAGCGGACCTTGGCCTTTTCCCTGCTCTTCCTGACGGCAATGTTGTTCCTCTCGCGCCTCCTGCGGTACTCGTCGCTGGCCTTGTCGATGGCCTTGGTCTGCTTCCTGGCGACAGCGGCCGCGGCAGCCGCGGCGTGGTGCTGGTGCGCCATGACGCTGGGCTTCATGGGTCCGCCACCCCTAGGTGGCTGGTGCACCCCGGAGTGGCCGCCTGGCACGGTGGAGGGCGTCAGGGTGGTGAAGGTGGGTCCACCATTGGCGAACGCTCCGCCGTTGGCAGGGTTATAGCCTCCTGGAGGGTATTGGGGGCAGTGCCGTCTGTAATCCGCGGGGTCCAACGGCTCCTCCTTAATGCTAGGCGACTCCGAGCTGGAGCTGTTGCTGTCGCTGCAGCTGTTGCTCCCTTGGTGGTAGCTGGCTCCGCTGTGGACCGGCTGAGGCATGTAGGCCAGGGTGGTGCGTGGGTAGCCCATGGGGTTCCTAGGGTGCTTGACCGCCCCGTTGGCCGCAGCTGCGGCCGCCGCCGCGCCTCCCAGCATGTCCAGGAGCCCATCGTTGAAGTGCGAGTCGTCGATCAGGTGCTGCAGATCCAACGAGATCTCCGGGGTGTTCAGATCCGTCAGCTCCCCAGCGGCCGCGCAATGCTCTGCGTACTGCTGGTGCAGGCTCGCCTTGCTGGCCGAGACCTTGCTCACCCCCGTCGGCCCCCCCTGCTGGTTGTGGTTCACCTGCAGCGCCGAGTTGTTGTTCAGCACCTGCGCGGACTTCTTCAGCTCCGCCGGCCCGCCCCCCTGGGCCTGGTGGGCCGCGGACTCGTACATCACCGGAGACTCCATCGCGCAGCGTCACTCGCGCATCACAGCCACTACCTTCTGCGCACTCCGGCCTCGCCGCCTCTTGGACTGCACCGACGTCGCGAGAGTCCCTACCGATGATGTACCGATGCTCAGCGCCCTCGCGGCCACTCCGCGAACTAGTCTACGACGGTTCACTCTATCCACCGGCTTCGCTCTCTTCTAACTGCGGACGTACGCGGAGGCGGGGCGCGCGACACTCGGGCCTCCACGTGTTGCGCCGTGGAGCGGTCGCGGCGCAGATAATCAGATTTTAGATTATGGCCGATTCGAGGGGGACCGTCCAGGGGGCGGGTCCGCGGTGAATATTATTTATAGGTGATAGGGTAATGACTAATTGGGTTCCACGCACTCGGTCGCTCTTGCTTGGCTACGCGCGCGCGCGCTCACGCCACGGAATCGGGACCGCCCAATTGAGACGCTTGTTGCTCGCACGGCTGTCGGCGCGCGACTGATCGCCCTCGCGGCATGTCGCAAGCTTTCAATGTGGCGCGCGCCAACATCGCGCGGGAGTCGGGCGCGCGCATGCGCGGTGCCGAGCGCGCCGTCGGGCTGCCCCCTCCCTCGCCTCGGCCCTCTATCTCTCCGAGATGTCGGTGAAGAACGGGGCAGGAAAAGTTCTGCGCTCGCCTTTTCTTGCGGGTTATTTATAAAATCGAGTCCCTATGCGTGCGCGACCGCGATCGGAGAGGAGCTAGGTGGTTGGGAATCACGGGAAAGATTGGCACGAGCCTCTTCGTCTGGGGGTTGGTCCCGATAAATCGGACTTCTCTTTAAACGGTTCTTTACCTCTTGTGCTTCTTCGGTCACGGAACAATTTTCAACGACGAGTATTCTTTAAAAATGAACTTTACATAGCAAACGGTACTTCGAATTTATAATCATGAAACTCGGCAGAGTTTCGGCCAAATACATTTTTAATAATAAAATGATGAAATTAAACTGAGAAATTGTTGAAGTACAAGAACAATTTTCAACGACGAGTATTCTTAAAAAATGAACTTTACATAGCAAACGGTACTTCGAATTTTATAATCACGAAACTCGGCAGAGTTTCGGCCAAATACATTTTTAATAATAACATAATGAAATAAAACTGAGAAATTGATGAAGTACATGTTGGAAAACTTTGTTTTTTCAGACATTCTTTGAGGGGATTTTTCTGGATGGAGGAAAGTAACTCAACGTTTTAGTTGGTGGAGAAATTGCATGCCCCTGTAATGAAAAAATTGTTAAATTAGTGGGATTGTATAGAGTCGAAGAGGTTTGATCCAAAATCTAATGATACTTCCAAAATCTCCTATATAAAATAGTACTGCTAAAAATGTTTCGATATTTTGAATTCTTTTGAAATTTTGAAAAATTATACTTTGGAAAAATTTTGATATGTGCAATACATTTTGAACAGACATTTTTAACAGGATAAGAGGGACGTTTATTTTCCGGTATCTGTTTATTAAGTGCTCCAAATTCCGGTCCCGAAGTAACGATCATTTCATCGCATATGTATAAACAAACGAACAAATGATCACACAATAGCGCTTTAGTAAAAAGTGATTTAATATTCAGGCGAAATTTTTAGGATCAGCTGATTACGGATTTTAAATCGACTCGTGGGAAATATCGTTCGAGGGTAGCACTTCTTTTTCCTCCAAACTGAAATTTTCAAAATTCCACGACACCCCGAAAAATTTGTCATTAATATTGTCTCGGATGAACATACCCCGTAAGAAATAAACTATCTCTTGAGCCACTGTTTTCATTGAACATTCGACAAATCGGATTTACTCCCTGGATAAATTTATTTTAGAGATCAACGCAATACCACCTAACTGCAACAATTGCAGTATTGCGGCTGCAACAATGATTATGAGTAATTTGAAATTGACCATCACATTAATCTCGTATTCTTCTCTGACTCAGAACTCTGCAAACACGCCACTCAAGATTCCATTGCAACTTTCCTTTTCTGAAAAAGAAATAATGAACATGATGTAATTGAAAGTGATGTTGAATCCGACATGAACTTCACGTTTAATAATTATTTTCTTTTAAATTCAAATTCTGAACATAGACAAATCTAAGGTCACTAATACACAACGAAACTGTTTCTGCTAATTTCTGTATTAACTGTAAATGATTTTAGTGTGCATGTTTATACATTCTTGTCTGAATGAACATTTACAGGATTCATGTGTGCATTTTATTTGGCGCCTGGTAAATGTTTCTCTTTCAAATATTTAAATGCATGTATACGTACATAAATGTATACACGTGTATATCTCGAAGAACAGAGTCTGAAAACAATATCACAGGGCGTATTGTAAAAAAATACAATAAATTCTTGTTACGCCGAACTACAATAATACGTCCAATGACGCGGAACGTCGCCACCTCAATGGAAATCTAAAATAATTTTCCCTTCTCGAGAAATGACTAAGAAAAATAATCCGACTGTGAGGTTTCGCGGTTGCGACTTCTTGCGAGTGACTCAAAAAAAGGAATCCCTGCACATTCTCGGCATAATGCGGCAACGAAATAGACCGGTGCATGTAACAATAGTGTTGATCACCTGCCTGATCGATACCATAATCAATATCCAGCCGTGACATTTTAAAATGGTACTTAATACAGACGCAATAACGCAATTATCGAATTTATCGATGGTATAAAAATAAAACGGCGCTCCTGAAGTGCGTCAATTTCCGGAGGGCGAAATGATAAAAGTCTGATAATGAGCGATCTGCGACTCGATGTTGAAGAAATTATTCTATCCTAGAGTTTCCGCTTTTGGGGAAACCCGAGGAGCTAGAATGATGGAATTTTTGTGACAACTGAGCCATCAGTCATCACTCGTAAGATAGTACGTATCCTTGCCTGAAGAACGTGTACCATTACACGTTCGTGATAAGACGCAAAAATTGGAAGATAAGGCCATCCCGAAGATTCATTCAAAGGGCTGAGGAAAGATAACTTTGTCGGTTGAAAATCCCTCAAAAACGTCCCGACGATTCGATACTTCGGAATGCTCTTAATGACTTTTAAGTATTTTCTAACGAGTTAATTATTAACCCTGTATAGGAAGTCATTTTTTATGAGGATGGAAATTTTTCCCGCCTGAAATATTCCACAGGGGAATTAAAAGGTAACAGGTGTTCGCAGATTCATTCATAAAGATTCAGGTGTGCTTACTTTTGCTGCTCATAAATATAATGTTAACTTCTTTGAAAAAAGGAATTTTTCCGTGGGAAGATCTAAACAGATGCGATGAGTCAGTGTATAATGACGACTGTAATATTCCTTTGGAATGACGGAAAGATAATGTTAAATTTTTTGAAATTTAAATTATACTGTATTTAGCATGTTATATGCACTGATTCATACAATGTACAAATTTCGTCGACTTAATGACAATTACGTATCAGTAGTTTGCTATTGGCATAATTGAGAGAGTCTTTAGTTATTGTTTTATCTAATATGTAAAATTATGAATATCTTGAATATTAATACTACATTTTCTACAATTCTCGTTTTTTTCTCCGAAGGTTGCGACGAGTAAGAAATTCTAATGAATAACGAAACCAGGGAAAGAAATCTTCGAAATCTCAAAGAAAAATGTTACGAAATTACAATATTTTTTTAATAATACATTGAACGTAGGGAACTCTACACATTCGGAAATGAAATAAATATCGCACTTCTATAGAATGCAAAGGAAAAATGTTACGGAATGTACCATTTCCTTCATTCTCGTGAAAACAAATTAGCTTACATAACGTACTCGTCACCGATTGGCGACAATAGGCGTTATCAAATTTATCTAAATTGGCCGGAAGCATTATCACTCAATACATTTTGTACCTCGTTGAACACAAGAACTGTAAAAAGGCTCGCATTGCTCTTTTGCTATGAGTTTATCCCTTCTCAAGATGTGAAACTGTAAATAAACATTGCACAACAATTACATCGAATTTAATACTCTTGCCGAGTTATCAGCTGCGCTAGGAGATTTACGATCGACAGTATGACAATTGACGTGAAGTAAGAAGCGTAATTCATTAAGGCAGAAACAATTGTGTTTTATCAAAACAGTTTCATAGCATAAGAGAACGTCAATGCTTTTGAGTTGGATTTACTGTTTAACCAGCTGTTGGTAAGTATTATGCAAATTATCAGAACCTCAGCCAACACGAAGGCGTCGAAATGCTGTTTCACTTTCGCCGATCAGCTGAAATAATTAATTGTCGTTATCTTCAAACGAAACATGGACAATGTTACCGAAAATTCATAAAAAATCCATTGATTAGAAATAAATATTGTACAGAACATTGCGATTTTCGTATAAAATGATTGAGAACTTCTTGATTTTAATTTGTACCCGAAAATAACTATCTGAGCAAATGCAAATTACATAATTAAATTACACATAGTTTGTTTATAAATTCAGAAAGTGAAAGTACGTCATATCAAATCTCCAGTTAAGTTTGTTTTATTTTTAAAACTCGATTAAAAAAAGAAACGAAGATTAAAAATCTATATCAGGAGGCAATAAAAACTGTTATTTGGGTTCACTCTTACCTTTAACGATTCAGCTGTTTCATCGTTTCATCCTTACGAAAGTGGATCGGTAATTTAGATAGCTGAAAGAATGCTGCATTTTACTTGAATGAATTTAGAAATGCTCATATTTACCTTTCTCTTGCGTGCTTTTGAATATTCGTTTCCATCACACGTATCGCCATCTACACGTTGTTCGAGCAAACGTTTCACTATGAATCGTACAAGAGCTGTTCAAATTTTAAAGAAGGAAATAAAAGCGAATGTTTAAAAATACTTCCGTAGGTTTAACGACTGAGAATACAAACAATTCGTTTTCAACTCACCGAGTACAATTATAGTGATAATTTACTGACAGCTGATAAAGCGAACAGTTGAATCGATAATGCCATTCTGCACTCAGTAAGTACCTCTATAATCAAAAGAAACAGATCATATTTTCTGTTTACTGCGCATATTTAGAATGAGCATTTGTGGTAATAACTGGTTATAGACGTAGATATCCAAATTTAAAGTTTTAACATGCTCTTATACTCACGAATAGTAAAAACAACATTATTGACTTCGGATGGTAAGAGGTTATGTATCTTCGGTTCTTTCAATTTGACTGCATTTTCTTCACAGCGCCCTCTGAAGCGATTGTGTGAAACTTCGTGGCGAAATCGGCAATTTGGCGGAAACTACAAGTCCCTTGAATTATAAATCTGCATAGTAAATACTGCCTTGAATTAACATTCAGGAATAAGAAAAATAGTGATGTAAATAAACTCGGATGATAAAAGCTTACCTTCAGTCGTTTCAAATTATTCAAATTCTCCCGCCATTGTAAGGCGATTCAGTTATAATAATATATGATTTTAGTTTATTTCCGCCTGTATTAAAGAGGACATTATTGTTCACTTCATGCGTAATTCTTTTTTCGTGTAAAAATGTTAACTTCGCGCAACACTGGTTTTTACAAACAAATCTACTCCTATGAACGTTCAAACTTTCGCGGTGCGCGCGCCGCGCTATCTATCGATCAGCGGTGTAACTAGAACCGTGATTATAGCCGTTCTGGTAACTGCCATACCAACTGATACATCAAATCTAGTGACGCATTCACCGCGAAAATTTAAATGTTGTCAAAAACGAAGTTATTGTTGATTAAATCGCTTATTCCTTTATACATCGAAGTTAATAAGATGGCGCCTAGATTTTTAAACGCGGTAAGTCACGTCAGGAACGATGAGAAATTTCTGAGAACCTATCAGTAATTTCTCAAAAGCTTCTTTTTTCCAGGCATTATGAGAATTTAAATATTTGCGGCGAAGTGAATGTGAGATTTTGATTGGTTGCAGAGAAACACTGGCGTGGAGGAACTTCCGCTGTACATATTCTGCAGTTAATCAAAACTTCTCATTTGCCTCATCGAACGATGCCGTTGGATTAATAAAATATCGGCCCTGTTCTGGCCCATATCACATGGATTTCACGTGAAGTTATACATAAATATTCTTTATATTTTTTAATAATATTTATTACATTTGCACTTGAACTTCGAAATGCATTGAAAAGAAATATTACTTAAAAGAAGAAACATCAAGTACGTAATAAAAAAATTGACGTTCTCATAAATTCTCGATATTCTCGGTAACTGACGGTATGTTTCACAGTTACTTTCTCCAATTTTGTTACCGAGAATTTTCGAACTCTACCCGCGCCACATAGCTGCGATGTCGCGCGTCATCTACCAAAGATGAGTTGGGAGATTGCTTACGGGGAGGATCGTGTGATCGCATCCTGTGCTGCCCTCTGGTTTCGTACGTTAGCTTTCACCATTTTTTGCCCCCAAGGGCGACGCAACGAATTTCTGATAGGAGCTCGCGCACTCGCGATGGCGGTACCATCTACCAGTCGCCATTGGCGGCTCACGTACTCGTGATGGTAATGCCATGCGGCAGTTGACGGTGGTGGCTTACTTACGCTTACCGATACTGCTCACTTTTGATGGTAAGGGAAGAACACTCGTGACGCTCCATTTGACTTTATCTACTTATCTACTACTATTAAGTACATTGTTGCCTCGAAGTCGACGTGATGCGGAGCTTTGGGGCTCGTGTCGGTGTCGCGTACGGAACTCTCGTTCGGCCCTCTCGTCTGTGGCCCTCTGCGGCAGTCTCCGGCACTCTCCGGCACTCTCCGGCACTCTCCGGCACTCTCCGGCCCTCTCCGGCACTCTCCGGCACTCTCCGGCACTCTCCGGCACTCTCCGGCACTCTCCGGCACTCTCCGGCACTCTCCGGCACTCTCCGGCACTCTCCCGCACTCTCCGGCACTCTCCGGCACTCTCCCGCACTCTCCGGCAGACTCCAGCAACTCTACGGCACTCTGCCGCACTCTGCGGCATCTCTCTGGCACTCTCCGGCAACTCTCCGGCACTCTACTGCACTTAATAACACGCAACCGCACTGTACGGCCTTCGATAAGGCTCTAAAACACTTGAAAAGCGCGCGAAAACGATCGATAACGTTCGACAACGACCGAAAATGCTCTGAAAATGACCGAAAAACGATCGAAAAACGATCGATAACGCTCAAAAACGCTTGACAAACGCTCGAAAACGCTCCATAACGCTCCAAGAGACTCTAAAAACGCTCGAAGACACTAAAAACATTCGAAAACAGTTGAAAAACGTGCGGTAACCCTAAAAAAACAGTCTAAAAACGCTCGAAACCGCTCTGAAAATGATCGAGAAACGCTCGAAAACGTTCAGAAACGGTCGAAAAACGCTTGATAACGCTTGAAAACGCTCGAAAACGTTCAGAAACGGTCGAAAAACGCTCGATAACGCTTGAAAACGCTCGAAACCGCTTTGAAAATGATCGAGAACCGCTCAAAAACGTTCGAAAACTGTCGAAAAACGCTCGATAACGCCAGATAACGCTCGAAAACCTTCAAAAACGCTCTCGAAACGCTTGAAAAGCGCTCGAAAACCTTCAAAAACGTTCTCGAAACGCTCGTAAAGCGCTCTATAATGGTCGATAACGCTCGAAAACGTTCGAATACGTTCAAAAACGCTCTAGAAACGCCTAAAAACACTCTAGAAACGCCTAAAAACGCTCGATAACGCTGGTACGGAAATGTAAAAATCATACGTAAAATAACTCGGCTTATATCCGCAGTTAGGTAAGCCTCGGGAGGATTTTTCGCAGTTTTCGAGTCACACGTATACTTGTCGAGTGTAGCGCCGAATGCACACATACTCAACGTCTCGATCCGTAGCTTGGCGCTTGGCTGGTGGGACGCGCGAAGATTTCTAGGTGCTATCGCACTCACACAGATTCGCTGCACGAGAGTTCCGTACGCGACACCGACGCGTGCCCCAAAGCTCCGCATCACGTCGACTTCGAGGCAACAATGTACTTAATAGTAGTAGATAAGTAGATAAAGTCAAATGGAGCATCACGAATGTTCTTCCCTTACCATCAAAAGCGAGCAGTGTCAGCGTAGGTAAGCCACCACCGTCACCTGCCGCATGGTATTACCATCACGAGTACGTGAGCCGCCAACGGCGACTGGTAGATGGTACCGCCATCGCGAGTGCGCGAGCTCCTATAAGAAATTCGTTGCGTCGCCCTCGGAGGCAAAAAACGGTGAAAGCTAACGTACGAAACCAGAGGGCAGCACAGGATGCGATCACACGATCCTGCCCGTGAGCAATCTCCTAACTCATCTCTGCATCTACCAATCTCTGTGACAAACTTCGCTACAAGCTCCGAGTTTCCACGAAGAGCAGCGGAGTCAGCCGAGGCGAAGCCGAGCCCTCCCGAAATCTTCGCCGTGGTACTAGCCACAACAAAAAATTCGTACATACCACTCGCTAAAAAAGTTTTCGCCAATATACAATCGCACGGCTCTTCCGTTTGTTTCCTCCTTAAATTCTCAGGCTGGAACTCGAACAGGCGGTACACGAAAGGTGAGTCGATACTCGAAGCTTCAAACTTTTTCGCTCGCATGGGAATAAAAGGGGCCCGTTGTGAGGGGCCCCGAAGCTTTTGACGGGATGGACGCACGCGTTTTGTTGTCATGCGACGCGATCGCAAACGGCGCAGCATCCATTGCCAAAATCTAGTAAAGGATCGTCCTCTATCTCTCTATATTTTCGTCGAATACCGATTGAGGCTCGCTCTTGCGAGAATCGTGTGCTGCTAGCGTCGCCCGGAAAGCACATCGTGGGACTACCTAAACAGGTTAACCTAAAAATGTGCCAGTGGGACCGCGCCGAAACTTTACTACCCTACTTGCGCCTTTGTAACCCAGTTACGTTTCATAATGAATTTAACGTTTTCATCTACTTTCTTTCAGCTTTGGGTAATTTCCACCAGTGTTTAGAATGCAGCCGTAGTTGAAACCTTCATCACATCTCTGCTTATTGTGTACATACAGTATCGCTGGCAAGTGTACGATGTCGAATTAACATAACGTTAGGTTCATCTTCCTTCCGATCTGGCAGTTTTTCGATAAGCGTTTATCGGAGCCACTCTGTTGGTCTCGCTTGTGTGCCATGGATTGAATGCAATCGTTTTGATACGTATGGCAGAATTATATGAATTATAACATTTTTTCAGGTTCTTATAATTGTGAGCGGCACGTGAAGACTTGCCATGTTTCCGTTATAAGAATATCTGATGAAATGCATTAATAATCTAAGCATATATCTGTTTTAAAGGTTTACCGTTTTGCCTTATTATTTTGTAACTGAGTTACATTTGGTAGTAATAAGACGATTTTATGTTTCGACTGTGAACATCTTCCGATAACTAATTTTTAGTCATGGTTAACATCCACGATACATCTGCTTTATTATTGTCCTGACAAAGAATATCTATACAAAGTCAAATGTCTTGTGAATGTTGTTGCACATTTTCCGCTTCTCTTTATTTTCAGCTTGATTTGTTAAAGATTTTACTTAATAATGCCAATGCATTGACATTTTATATGCATTCTGAAATTACTGCCTTATACTTTTTTAAAGCTCGCCAAATTATGAGTAATATTCTATTATTGTCTGCAATCACAAAATCAGAGTTAGCGTAGAATGTTACCAAATCATGGTCTAAAATTTAATATCTAGATACATTAATTTATATGTAAAAATTGTTAATAGATTTCATTACATTAAGTACTGCTTGAAAAAGTAATGGTTATGTAATTTGACAAAATCTCTATGTTAATGCATAATGTAAGAAATACTTATAGTACCATTAATTTTTAATTTCTAGATTTAATTTGTGCATTTACCTCCAAGGAGAGCAGTCGCATCCGCAATGGCTGGGGAACAGCAGCAGTTTTTTCTCAAATGGAATGACTTTCAATCTAATATGGTGTCATCGTTTAAACACCTACGAGATGAAAAAAGTTTCACAGACGTGACGTTGGCCTGCGACGGCCAGACATGTAAAGCTCATAAAATGGTTCTTTCTGCTTGCAGTCCTTACTTTAAATCCCTTTTAGAGGTAATTGAAAGGATACTATAAAATCTAGTATTAATTCCCTGCAAACGATAAGTAATCAGTTAAGGTGTGATTATGTTCATTAATGGTTTCCATTTGTTTTAGGAAAATCCGTCCAAGCATCCAATTATAATTCTTAAGGATGTAGCATATAGTCACCTCCAAGCGATCTTAGAGTTTATGTATGCGGGGGAAGTAAATGTCTCGCAAGATCAGTTGCCGGCATTTCTAAAAACTGCAGATCGACTTAAAGTGAAAGGATTAGCCGAAGCACCCGGTGCCATTAAGAGAGAGGGTTAGGTCTTCGCGTCTTCAGTTACGGTAAAACTCAATTCTCCTTCTAATTTTAATCAGGGTGGTTATGATTTCACTCAATTTTATCCAATATGGTCCTCATATGTGAATATTTGATCGAAATTTGAACTTGTGATATCTGGAATCCAAATTGATGGATTTTCCTTATTACTTTCATCTCAACGTGTACAATCATACATACGTTTCCATAACAACTATATTTTACCATAACCAGTCAATGTAAAAAGCACTTTTTTCAACAAACAACTTTATTTTAAAATGTTGAATAAAATCAGAATAGACTAAACTTCGATTTTTTCGATGAAAGCAGGTCTGCCTAGTTTTTTTCGAAAAATATTGAGTTCTTAACCACCCTGATTTTAGTGATACTAAGTAAAATAAATTTTCAATGACCGATATGTTAAACTCAACATGCGAAAGGATTTATTTTATAATAACGCATTACCATCTGGATCACATTGGTAGACTTCTTGAAATTATTTTGAAATTATTAATCGAAGACGTTCTCTTTTTCAGGTGTTATCAGAAGCGTGCAGACTGAAACAAAGGAACTTGTAATGTTGTAAAGTGATTGCGTAAAGTACGAAACACACGTTAACACAAATAGACAAGACAGGCGGGCTATGCTGCGCCCTCCGGTTCATGACTCGGATCAACGCGAGAGTGATGTAAATGACATTTCTTTTCTCGAGAAATACCGTTAACGTTATACCTTACGTATGCAAATGCGAAGTAGAGACTAAATGTTGATGTTTGTCTTGAACCCAATGCGCCACGATAATACCACAGCCACATTGATTATTTTTTTAAAACGAAATACCGCAGAGTTACAAAACGAATAAGTGGATCACGATAGTTTTAATATAACAAGCTGACCGGGGCTGTTTTCATTAATCGGCAGAAGTGTTAAGGAAATAACCGTCAAATAAGTTTTTCTAATTAATTCACATGTCATGGTCCGACGAAGAGCTATTTACATAATCGTTGAACCAATCAATTTGACCGTAGACATGTCCCAATTTACAATCTATTTTACACATGTTAAAATGTTAAATATTATTACTGTGCACATCATTACCAAACGATCATTGGTAATGCTGCTTAGTCGTTGACAAATTCTGAAGTGTCCATGAGACGAAGGAATATCTTCGAATGGAAGGATCTCAATTTACTTTACCGTATGACTATCTTTCAACTACTTTGGCTTGAATGATGCCTGTTATAGATTTTGACTAATACATTTCTTGAAAGAGGACTTACCACTTTTGACCGATGCATGTCTTCGGCGAGTTAAGAGACTTATGAACACCCCGGCCATCCGTTCAAAGAGTTTCGAGTCAGATTTACTGGAGGATATAACTCAGTTGTAACGAGTCCTCCAAATAATCGTTTACTTGTGATTCTTATTAATGAAATGTTAATTAATAACGTTCAAGCTTATCATGCAAAGACTAAATATGAAACATGCATCAAAGGATTGTTGACATAACAAAGTTGCTACCTCCAGTAATCATGATTTCGTTTAACCAAATACTGCCAGTATTTGTTACCGGCGTATTCACATTATTACCGATAGACCAAATTTATTTATGATAATAATATATTGAGGGTTGGTTGTCCTAAACCAAGGGAAGGCTATTGTAACATAAAGCAAATTTTGTAAAGCCAGAGCGCACAGTTCCTTTTTCCTCTTGACCGACAAGACCTCTAGGAAGGCTTAGAAAGAAAGTCAGGAGCATTTCTCTATAGCGAAGTTATCCATAAATATATTTTTATTTTTTCAAGATAAACAATTTCACGTTGAAGCATCAACAAACGAGGCAAATACCTTTTTGTTTCTGCATTTCCGTTCGACTTTCTGCACAAGTGAATATCATCACTGGCGTCAATATGAAATAGAATTCAGTATTTCATATATCTCGTTGGGAAATGATTTAGGCAACTTTGAACCTTTGTAATACTTCAGTGATGTCGAGAGTAATGTTTATATAAGCAAATTGTTTAAAGGGTCTCCATAATGTACAAAGATATTCGAATCTGGCGAATATTCTTTAAAGTCTGCGAACTTATGGGCCGTCAAATTTCGTCATTGAATCATTATGTCAGACCAGAGATAATTAACATTAAAGATATGATTTAACGAAAAACACTTGTCGTTTGGTATGAAACTGCTTTTATCCGATGGTAACTGTTTCATTGAAAGAGTTTCATTAAGAGGTCTCGTTTTAATATGATTTCGCCGTTGTAATATCAGATCCATACGTCAGTTGAAACTGTCTTTAGCGTAATGTTAGTATTTAATTTCCTGTTAGTATTCCCGATAATTATACCGAGGAATAAAGTATTTTCGTAAACTTTCTCCGAGCACGGTGCGCTCTTGTAACCGACGTAGATAGACTGTGGTAAAACAATGTAGAGGTGGGAACAAATGTACAGCTTGTTCGAAGAAGTTTAACGAAGATCTTCACGCGCGATTCCGTTCTTCTGACTTTTTTTCTCTCTACCTCGTTGTCATTGTACCTTCTAAGCAAAGTTAAACGTAATCGGAAGAAAACGGTGTCACTCTCGTATCCCTTGTGAGCTTACGCGTGATGTTGCCCATGTAAAGTTAAGGGCAGGTCGGATGGGTGATTTTGGGAAAATGCACTAAACAAAATTGACCGTTCCATTAAACATGTTCCAATTTCAAACCCTCGATAACTGCCACGTGTATGTTGAATACTGATGTGAAAAAGATTATATGTTTTATATAACTGTTTCATATAAAGCTATGCCGTAAAGCTGTTCATAGAGAAACAATTTTAATATTAGAAAAGATATCTAGTATCGTCAAAGAGGAATGCTAGTATTGGCGTTTGTTTCCTCCTTTCTATGATTATTGTGCTTTATTTACCGGTACGTTTCAGTTATACGTTTCGTTTAAGGGGATGTGAAAGTCGCATCCGAAAGGCCAATCTTTCATCAAACATTTCTACGAACTGGATGTACCGAATCGCTTCACATTTTACAAAATGAACGTGAAGGCTATGAGGTATGTCTCGACACCCATGAAATTTCATTTTTTTATAGAAAAATAATGTTGAGTGTCTGTAGATCAATTTAAAAAAAAATTGAAATTTCATGCCTGTCAGGTCGTTTCTTATAGCCTCCATGTTCACGTTGTAATGTTTGAAATTATTCGGTACACCCAGTTCGGAGAAAAATTTCATACATGAGACCTCGTTGACGGTACTTTCACATCGCCTTAAATTAACACGATACGTGAAAATCGATTCCGTAAGCGTACTTCTAACCATGAATTGGTGGTTTTGTTGCAATTACGAACGCAAGTAGTTATTCCAGAGTGAAAAGTCATTTGATTACAATGGTTCGTACACTTCCGTTGGTACCGTAGAATTAAGTGAATTGTTTGTTTCTAATCGGTTAATCGATGCCCGTAGTTGTCGATATACGAAAAAAAAAAAAGAAAAGAAAAAAAACCGGCGATGATTCACGAAGTGCAATACCACGTCTCAATGTAGCATTATTGATATACGCGCAACTTAAAAAGAGGGTCTTTAAGTGGAACGATAACATTCGGCAATGTGGGAATGAATTATTTTCGCGCATTTTACAAAGTGCTCCTTTGGTCTCCCCTTAAGTGGCTTGTCGAAAGGTTTTACCAGATTTTCTGTTTAAGTTTTACTGTTAAGGCTAAGTGCTTTTATGGCGCCGAGTGCCGGTTTGAAGTTTAAGGCTCGTAGCGAACCAGTTGCATCGACATCATCTGTCATCGACTCACAGTTTTAGGATGGACCGAAGAGAGAGAGAGAGGCTTCGCTCCAGCATCTTAAGTTGGACCAAGGACTCCGAACTTCAATGACATGATTTCCATAATGCTCCGGTTATGGACCCAGACGACTACGCACCTTCGATCCTACCCATATGGAACTTTGTGCCTTTTCAAGGAATTTACGAATTCCCGGAGTGGGCACCTTCTAGTAATGAAGCGTCTTCTAGTAATGCTTTCCAGTCACACATCAATCCAGAAGGCATGCTCCGACAGGAAATAATTACATCGGCGCATTGAACGGTCACACGGCGACATACCGATATAGCATAACTTTGCGTAAAAGCATTTCAGACGAATTATAAATGCTCTCGTAGAAGATGAAGAATAATGTACGGGGTGATTGAGTTACGTTTAAGAGATAATTGGACATGGGATCGTTTGCCTAGGTGATAATCCTGCGAGATTCAATTTCTAACTTGATTTGGAAGGGCGGCGTAAATGTATTTTTTGAATTCTTCAATACCGTCTATTGCGGGTCTAATTGGGGTAAATTTATTAGATCTAATTTTTAACGGTTCGAGGGAAATTTCACGAGTGGCTTCACTTTCGGGATTTCTTTTATTCCAACCTTCGGATCTTTTTTTTTAAAACTATAAGGCTAAGGGTGTAGGAATTATATTTTGTCAATCCTACTGTTGAATGTGCCTAGATACGTAAAATTTGGAATTTTTGGGGGTAAATGCGTTCGAGGTATTTTTTAAATTAGGCCAAATACGGTTTAAGTATATGATAAGTTAAGTTACATTTTGAGCGCTTTGCCAAATGGTTGTACTAATTTTGTAATCCGTGAAATGCGTTTTTTTAAATATCACTTCCTACGAGTTACGCACAGCGATAGATTTAAAGTGTCTGCGAAATCGTTTAATATTTGCATTGTTAGGTATGTTTGTTCTTAGCTTAATCTCGCAGAAACTCGATGCACTTCCTGGTAACGAAATTTAATTTGCACACTTTGTAATCTATCGGAAGTGAATTAGTTACAGGATAATGTGAAACTGTCAATACTTTACCGATCGCCAGCTTCTCATGCATTCTCAATCACCCTAATTATTGACGTTTCACGGCCAAGAATGTTGTCTTTATTTGATTTATATTGATTTATATGCGAAAATGTGTTACGATTTTCCGTTAATGCGCATTGAAGTACAGCGTAACTATTAATGAGTTAATTGGCAGTTAAGCACCAAGGTACTTGCAATCGATGCTCAGAGGTTTTAAAGATCGGCATTTTCTGTTTATAAAAGTAAAATGAGCGAAAGGAGTAACCAAAATTTTCGTATTAATTGGCATTGCGACACGTGCGGAAATAATATTTCTCTTTTCGTCAGTTCAATGGCATTTCTTTCTTCATTGGTAGATTTGTAAAGAGCTTCGGTTTAGTTTTGACGAATAATGGTCGTTCATTTAGAGAGGTTCACATGATGGGACGATTCGGATTTTCAGTTCCTGCGATAAGGCGTGGAGACTGAAGATTCGGTGATTAGAAGGCGAATCGTCAGACCGTGTACATTTTTGCTATCCTGTAAAGTTACGCCGCCATTTTGTAGCCGTAGACACTTGCAAGAAGGAAGATTCGTTCAAGTTAGCAATTAGTTCGAAGAGGTTTTCCCCTCGGAGCCTTTTTTGTGTACATGTCGGAAACGAACCTTATCGTTACCTTTTTTCTTTCTTTTCTATTCCCGGTAAAAAGGCCTGATTAGGACATGATTTAAAATTTCAATTTTAACGCAGAAATGGCGATTTATATTTTCTAATTAATAACTGATTCTTCTTAGAAACCCAATTCAGCAGGAATAATTTTTCTGTAAATGTCAATTATATATTCTATTCATACACACTCTGATTTACGTAGAATTCCGTGAAGAGGAGTATATTTATACTCTGTTTAATTCCTTGTATTTAATTACCTTGAATCCTTTTGCAGATGTATAAGTTTGGAGCCTGTAATTTGAATGTGTTCCACTTCATGTGGCCAAAAAAATAATAGAGATTCGATTTCGCTTGTTTTCTTTTATCGCCTAGATAAGGCAAAGGAAAAAAAAAATCTAGTATTTGATAGAATTAAAATTTTTAATTGCATTTTAATCCAGCCTCATTATCGGATTAGATCAAAAGAGTTTAACGAAGGAGGACTGATCGAACAAATCGAAATTCGGCCTTTCAAGATTCTACCGACGATTTTGAAATGCATTGCAAAGGGGACGTTTCCTTTTTCTCGGATGATTATTAATTTGAAATTGCGAGATTTCTCGTCGTCACTTTGCGGTGTATTAAGATTGCCCCAAGATGATCTTCCTTCTCGATCTATTTTTTTATATGCTAGATCATACACTTTTAGGATACGTTATATTCATTCCCAGCTCGTTTCCTCCCTTTTTCCCGTGAAAATTTCATCTCCTCTCTTAGCATTACTTTTGCTATTGACATGACTCGATTACTATTATGATATGATGATGTTGAGATATAAAATAAATTGTGTAAATATACCAAGATTCATCTTCCCCGGGTGACTGGAAATTCATTATTTCCGAGATTTTAGAATGGGTTCGCAGGTGTGTGAATGCGGTTTTTGAAGATATGTGAAAAGATAAACTTTAACCCATTTACATCATAAGGAAGTATGAAAAAGATGGTGCTTATCACCAAATTTCAGACTGAATGATAGTGACCAATAAAATTGAGCGTGATATATATATACGCTCCGGTCATTGTTACCAGGAAAACTGAGCGTATATATACGCTTATGATGCAAATGGGTTAAAAATCAATTGCGTCACTTGACGCAATCAAAAGTTAGAGACGAAACTTTAATCGGTAAATCTCTTTTACCGTGTTTTGACCTCTCTGAATTTGATTTAAGCCGTTCAATATTGTTCTGGTATTAAAAGCATAAATCGAAGCTCTCGTCTGTCCGGACTTCTACATTATTAAACTTTTGAATTATTGCTCGGACGCGACCTGAAATGAGTACGTGTTGCATGCGATGCACTGGATGCAACACGTTGCACGCAACACGTGACTGCAATAAGTGTTCCATGGGATGCATAAAGTGGACGTGAACTCGTCAGAGGGAAAGCATGTGACCCTGAACTTTGAAAAAGCCCGTTGAAAGATGAATTTTCTTTAATACGTGTTTTTCAATCTGTTTTATTGAACGTGAAAAGATATTTATTAAGAAGTTTCATATGTATCTTTATTTGCAAATGGACGAGAACTGGTCATTAAGGTAGTCCGTGACCCTGAACCTTGAAAAACTCGAGAAAAATTCAATTCTCTGTTATACATGCTTTTCAATCGATATTATTGAACGTGAAGATATATTAATTATAATTAAACATGCGAAAATACTTATCGATAAGTTGAGTATTCAGATTTATTTGCATATGGACGAGAACTAGGCAGTAAAGTAATCTATGACTCTGAACTTTGAAAAATCCAAGGAAAATTCAATTTTCAGTAACACGTGCTTCGGGATGTTTTTTTTTTTTTTTTATTGAAAATGAAAGATACTTATTCGGAGAATCAACGTGTATTTTTATTTGCATTATCTCACGATTTACCTTTGTGTCTTCTTTAATGCTGAGATTGTTCACTGAAATCGTATTCATTTGGACCCATTGTAATAAAATTTGAAGATACTACCACCGCAAATTTATTTACATAATTATAAATACAGCAAAGACGTACAAGAGAGAAATAATACCAATTCGGATCTAAACAGATCCATGAAGACATTAAGAGTGATATAAAAAATGTCTTCAACCCTTTTATCACCGAAACAGGTACAACTGAGGACTTGAGTTTTTAAGCGTCAGAGCTTAACTAGAATAGACAATTTTCTATAATTATAGGAATTTCTCAAAACTTTAATACTCTCAGATCTCTGAACAATTTCTGGAATTTTCTTGAAGTTCTCCGATGGAATTTAATTGATTATATAATCCTACAGATTTCTAGATATTTCCCGTTATCCCCTTTTTTTTCTAGTTGGAAAGAACATGGTTGAAAATTATTAGAAGATTTTAAACGAGTCTTCGTCATATTGTTACGGAAATGCTCATTCCGAAGGATCGCATTTTGCTTACACATTCGCATTTATTCTCCGCTATAAGTGTTACGTTTCGGGTAATAAAATAATAGCTTTCGCGTGCCGTGATTGCGCCATAAATCGTGCACCTGTTATGACGTATTTTTATGTTGCCAGTAACGGTTCAATAAAGATTTCTTCTCCCTCGGAAGGCGCAATCCTATTTTCCGTTCTCTTCCATTTAGAAGGATAATGCTATGGTCGTTTCGTAACGGGCCACCTAAACGAATTCAATGGTTATCCGATTTCTGGAAATGATGACACCCTTGTTTCCGACTTATCGAGATCTAAAAGTAGCTTTCGATCGTTCAAACTGCCGATCATTTTTTATGTCCGAGTTGTGTCAATTGAATCTCTGATATTTTATATCATGGCAGTTCCTTGTCAAGACGCATTGTTAACACATACTAACATTTTATTCATTTCTTCCTTAATTACGTGATAAAATTGATAACGGGGTTTAGGACCTTATGTTAAAGAAACGACCCTAGTAGCATAAAATAATTTCTGAATGTTTCTTTGTAATCTTAGCTAAATATCTCAAGCGACAGATTTTTTAAGATTTGTAGATTTCATTCGAAGATATCCGAAATATTTGTTGGAAATCTCAATGACATGTTTAGTTTCAATAATTTGTAAACATATATAGAGATTATATTTNATGATATTCGTTAAATATATAGAAAATATAGGACAATATTTTGTGCTACTAGGGAATGAACATAAAAAATATTTTAAGTCTTCCACTTTTAAACTGCTGAGACCGATTGCGTATTTTTTTTCAAAATGTTATTAATGCATTGTGCACGTATCAGAACGGTCAACAATCATTACTGGTTGTGTTTTAATAAAGTGTACAGTTTAGAAAATCGACATGTAGGCCGAATTTTTGGAAAATTTCTCTAGTTAAGGGCAGGCTACTCGATGGGCAGAATAACAAACGTATTTGCCGGGAATTTCAATTTGTCGGATGACTAAACAAGGAGGATTTAATGAAATCCCTTCGATTCGAAATTAATTTTTCGAGACCCAGCCGATCCGTATAAATCCAAATGAAAAATGAGACCAAAGGTCCATGAAAAGGGTCTTGAGGCATGGTAAAAATAATAATCACGGCACAAAAATATCTGATCAAAAACCACGCTATTCCCTTGCCTGACCATAGAAATATCTTCTCCTTCCTCAATTTACGCGGAACTTTTTTTTGCGCGGTAACGTGTAACACAATTTACGTGATTTTAATTTCCAATACTTTTTCTTTTGTCCTGACAAACTTTACGTAACGCCAATTTCATTCGCGTAAAACGAATCCCCAGTAGTACGGGATATTTTTCTAAATATATTTTTTTCTAATCTTCGCTAAATGTCTCAAGCGACAGATTTTTTAAGATGTCATGTAGATTTCATTTGAACGTATCTAAAATGTCCATTGAAAATCTCAATGACGTATTTAATTTTACTAATTTAGAAACATCGAAATTGTATTTTTTAATTTATAAACATAGTAAAAATACATTTTTCACTTTACGCTTATTATCGGACACTTCATTTGGCGTCAAAAAACACGACAAATTTTTTCAACATCTTCGATCCGCCATTTCATTACGGTAGCAAAACATGTGATTTTAAATATTTTTTAAAACGTTCATAATGTATTCGGCAGATAATACTTAAAAAAATACATATATTAAAATGAAAGGCGATGTTTTGTACATGAATAAGAAAAATATTACGAAACCACGTGGAGCTAATATTATACAAATATTATAAAGCTAGTGGTCTAAAGTAAACGTTTGGCAAATATTTCAAATGTCGGTTAAATATTTACAAAATGTAGGATATTCGTTAAATGTGTAGAAAATATAAAAGAAATATTTTGTGCTAGAAGGGATCCAGGTGAAATGGATACTCCGCGTAAATTGAGGGACGTAATTTCACAGCCGAAAGGCGAATGAACTTTTTTTTTTTCGGGCCGATTTATCCGTTGCGCAAAAATGTCGGGGTCACTCTACCCCCTGGGAGAGAAAAACTGTCGGCTGTTGGCCGCGAGGGATAAGATCGGAAGGAAACGGTGGAAAGAAAAAAAAAAAGAAAGAAAAAAGGAGCATGAAAAGGGAAAAGCCCTCCGTCGTCGTTACGTCAAGAGGAGACCCACGTGGCTCGAAATTTCCGAGGGAAGAGGTCGTGCCGGGTCATAAGGATTGTCCTCGGGGTGTTAAGAGATCCACGCGAGCAGGCTCGAGGCGTATCCTGGGGACAAACGAGGGACGAGGTGCTAAAGAGAGGGACGACGTCATTTTTTCGTCCGGCAGGCCAAGAGAAGTCCCGCTTAGGATGGCTGGAGGAACAGCAATGTCGGAAAATGGGGGACTCTTTTACTCGAGTAAAAATGATAACAGGGTCTGGGACCCGATTCTCGACTGCACACGATCAACTTTCGCATACGAAATTGACAATTTCGTATATGACTTTAAACAGTTGGTATTACTGAGTGATCACCAATTTAGTATTCGAATGATATGGGAATTACATCGCATGGGTCATATGCGAATGTGATAATTCGTATACGAAAATAACGCGAAACTATCGGTTTTTATGAAGGGGCTGGAGATCAATACAACCATATAGGGAATGTCAGGAGAAAAAATAAACAATTGCTAAAGCGAACATTTTATTGGTTCGAGCATTTCACGGCAAGCAGCAATGTTGCTTCGTACTCGCATACGATTACCTACCAGTAATTTGCACGAACCCAATTCGAAGAGTCCTCAAGAGTTTGTCTTATTATTCGTATGCGACATTTTTCATGCGAATCTATTCCTATGCGAAATTTTTCATGCGAATCTATTCATATGCGAAATTTTTCAGGCGAATCTATTCGTATGCGAAATTTTTCATGTGAATCTATTCCTATGCAAAATTTGTCATGTGAATTTATTCGTATTCGAAAAAATCCGTATGAACTCGAGAATCGGGCCCCTGATCAGGACCCGATCATGACAAACTCGAGTTCCGATCGGGTCCCCTTGATAAACCGATAATGGCGAGAGGTATTTACTCAGGGAATTGATGGAGATTGATGGATTTTAATGCTTGATATCACGTGGAATAATCTGTGGAGAACACTCGTAATCATTGGAAATTATCAAAACATCGCTACAATGTTCAGGCCGCCGGTCACTTGTTATCGGATCACATTGTTGTTTATCATATGAAATCAAAGGCAATCGCTTTCACTGCTATCCGAGTGAATAGCCCCTCGGATAAAACATAAAATCTTACCAAATTTCAAGATTATTTTCTGTATTTTTCATAAACGCGTAAATAGATCCTTCGAGTTTTAACGATAAACTTTGAAGTCCCAGAAAATTTACAATTTAGTCAGTTAGATATATTTTGTCATACGAGGGAGGCATACCAAGTATGGAATTCTATGTACTACAACATGTCTCAGAACAATAAAAATCGGTAAGGTACATCCGGAATACTTTCCTTGCTAGAGATCATAAGCTAAAGGAAGAACTTGATAAGGTACAATGATAGCAATTTCGCCGAAATGGCGGAATTTTTTAAAAATAACGTGGCACCTTTTGGAGTAAGGTGCACATTTGTTATTTCCCAAGCGCGGTCGGTGAAACAATGCTTTCGTCTTTGCCTCAAGGCGTATCCTGAGGGAAAGCGAGGAACCACATAATTTTTTCACCGGCCCCCTAACCCCACTCCCACCCTTCACCCTCACCCTTCACCCATCACCCTCCCTCTTCACCCTTCACCCCGGGGTGGATGCCGGCAGTATCGCGAGGAAAGCAGGCGCGCTTCCACACGAGGGCCACCGCGCTGCCGCGGACCAATCGGCGCGCACCGATAAGGGCGCGGGACGGCTTTCACCCTCAGTCGCGCGCCGGCCGTCGCGGGGCTAACATCTCTCGCTCCCGCGCTCCGCGTGCACCGGCTTCCGCGGGGTTCGATCCTTCCGATTGGCTCTGTCGATGTAACTGCCTTGACGAAGGGGAACGCTCGTCCGTGGACTGATCGGTGCGAGGTCACGAAATTAGGGTGGGAATCGTTGATCCGATGTTCATTACATCTTTCTGTGCAGACGGGAACGGGGGAACTGTAAATCGTGCCCCAAATGTTACGATGCAGTAAAACGGGGTCGAGTAAACGGGAATACTTAAATGTAAAAAGTTATTCAACTTTTTAAATAATACTCTATTTGAATTCTTGCTTATCAGTGAATTTGCTACGCAATGTTATGAAGTAGTATATGAACTTGGGTGGGAGTTGATGATACAATTTCATTAGAACTTTCTGTACGGACGAAAGTAGAGAAACTGTTACGATGCAGTAAAATAGAGACGAGTAAGCGGGAGTACTTAAATGTAAAAATAATTAAACTTTTTAAATAATGCTTTATTTGAATTCTTGCTCGTCGCAGGATTTGCTACGAAATGTAATGTATTATTACGCGCGATTGAATTATACAATCTTTGCTGCACAATTTTTCTTTTTTTTTTTTAATTCGGCTCTGCAATTTTCTTCGTTGATTAAATGCGTAGGATTTTTTTATGGTGTTTCGTGGTTTATCGGAATGCTGTACGTAGAACTGTTGCCGTGTTACTTAAGACATTATTTTCTGTTAAATAATGTCGGAGGACGATGTTATCGATATATTAGAACATAGTTTGTAATCAAAATATATAACTATAATATGCAGCTTTTTCGTAAGCTCACTTTCTGCGCAGCGATTTGGTTCAGCATTAACGAAGTTCTGCGTGTGCCAATTTGCAACAATGTTGTTAAATGTGAAACTTCTCCGTTGAACCGTAATTGAATTGGGGTACTTACAAATAGGATATCGCAATTACTCGTGCATGCCCACGCATGCAAGACGCACGTGCAAGTGCGTGCACATGCAGAAACGTTTTCTGCGAGTTTGTTATTTACATTTCTGTGCAGCAGAAATAAACATTTCTACCTATTCTGAGTATAAATGGGGGATTAATATCTTTTTATAGAAGGAACACGGTTTTATAATTAAATATTTTTAATTGTATTCATTAATATATATAATTTAGTATCTGCAATAGTGCAACATTAGCTGACAAAATTAAAAAATCCAAAGGCTCTTAGTGTTGCTCCGGCATTTGAAAGCAGCGTTTATTTAACAGTGCAACAGTTTTACGACCGACAATTCACAAGCTCGAGCTCTCATTCTTTACCGTAATGCGAGATTCATTTACACTGGCTCTTTACAGTCCTGACTTGCATAATAAAATGCACATAACATTGCAGTAACTTTTCATACGCACGGAAGGAAACTGAATTTTCTGCGTAGTAACAGTTACTAGATTTTAGAGGCGAATTTACATTAACTTCTTGATAGCTTTCGATGTTCCGTACAATTCTTATCACACCGATCTCCCTTTCATATAATCAGTTTTATAAGAAATTGGGAAAGAATTCCTTTTTTTTTTTTATAACGATGACTGATTGCTTCACAATTTTGAAAACTTTCATTATCACTAAAAATATTGCGCAGCTAAGGAATCTAGTGGTAATTTCACAATTACAAAAAAAAAGAAAAATACCGATTAAAGGAATTGCATTTAGAAAAATTGGTTACAATTGTTTAAATTTAATTCTTCGCGTGCTCTCGTCGCATTGTTATTATCATCAAGAATGTGGATTGGAGATAGCGCTCAACAATTTCTTTCACAATTATGAAAGAAAAATTCGTGAAGAAAATTTTTCTCGCACGCACCTGCTAAAAGTCCTTGTCATTTCTTACGCCAAATTTTTCTCACATTTTTGTGACACTCATTATCATTGAGAATTTGGGAGAGCGGCAGCTCTCAACAACTTCTTTCGCAATTATGAAGTAAAAAAGACACTAGTGAAGAGAATTGAACCTGCAAAAATTCATGTCATCGTTTACCCTGAGCTTTTTTTAAAATTTTGTCGCGCGCACCTGTCGAAAGTCCTCGTCATTTCTTACGGCAAAATATTCCCACATTTTGGTCACACTTTTATTATCATCGAGAATTTGGGGTGGCGATAGCCCTCCGTGCCCCACGTGACTCAGGGTCATCTCCAAAGCTGAGCATCAATCACTCTCCCCGGTCAATCTATAAGGGAGCGCCGAACAAACTTTCCTTTCCTTTTTTCATCTCGATCAAGTGCGGCAAGCTCTCACTTTCCTCAGATTTTCGCGACAAATCGCGGGTACAAGAAGAGCCACGTCTTCCTAGGAAGACGATTTCTCACGAATGTCAGGAATACTTATCTCGCGATTAAAACGAAGCACCCGAGAGATTAGTAAACTAAGCCACCAAGTTAACATTTCCTACGGAAATATGCATTTCGGTAATCGCATTAATTCGACACCCGCTTTGCCATAAATTTTACATTAAACAACCTCGACGGACGCACGATAATAATCTCATCAAGGTCCTTTTCATTTCGTTCGTTATTAATGCGGCTTTATCGAATGCTGTCGAATTCCGATCATGTGCGGTACATTAGGCAAATTGGATTGCACTGTAGAAATAAATCGAATGTTGTTTCGGCTCGACATTCGCCGACAACGATCCGCACGTTTCAATATTCCCGGCTAAATATTCATATTGAAGTTTTTTATTTATCCAATTTATGTTGTATAATGTCCTGCGGGTTTAAATGAAGTTCTCTTCTATTATTTTTTTTACACAAATTTGCTTTCATTTTTGCTTAGGAATGAACTCGTATCGCCTCACTGAGTCAGCCTGTAGAGGGCTTCTGCGTTTTTTTATCAACAAGTTCGGGAATAGCACATGATAGTTTCATATAAGATTATTTTATTTATCCAATTTAAATTATATGATGTCCTCCGATTTTTCATTTTACATAAATTTACATTTATTTTTGCTTAGGAATGAACTAGTATTGGCTCACTGAGTCACCCTGTAGAGGTCTTCTACGTTTGTGATCAACAGGTTTTAGGAAGTAGCACGTAGCAGTTTGTCCTTGTTTTTCGAAGCACGCCTCGAGGATCTTTCGTGTTTTGTTTCCTTTTTTTCCTCCTTTCTTTTGCTCTCCTAGGTAAAAGGAAATGTTACGTGCTGTCGGAAAAAGTTACGCTTCTTTGTTGCTCTTGCGTACCGAACATTTTCCCACGTAGAGGACGGTTGGCTCGAAATTATTGACGGCTCAATATTTGCGCTCGAATCAATGAATCCATATTCGTTTGTATTTCGAGGAAAGGTCGGGCCTGCCCTATATTTTCAATTAATTGTTTATATTTCGGGGTGACGAAGCAACTTGTAAAATATTTATTCTCAGTCCTCACGCATGTCCTCCACTGGGGAGTTTTATTATTCTCTTTGAACTCAAGCCACTGCAGAAGAAAAATCATAAAAATAGTGAAAGGAAAGTTTTTAAGGACTCTGATTTTGTTCATTGCCAAGGACTACTCCTATCGGTCCCGTAAAAATTCTGAGCATATGTACTTCTCTCGATTTACTTGTGCAAATTAATGCAAGCCATTGCAAGAAGCCTAAGCCGTGGAAAAAAAATCTTCGAAATGGGCGTTCTAACGTTTTCGAGGTTCTGGAAGGCTCTGAATTTTCCTAGCTGTTGAGGCCAACCCATATCTGTTTAAAAAGAAATTCCAAGTGCAAGTACTATCCCCAGTGTACGCCCATAAATTAATAAAATAATCACTTTCGACTTTTTCCTTCGTTTCATATATGACACAACTTAAACTTATTACGAACTTAATGATATATGATTTTCATACTTTTGCATGCCGAACATAAAACATATTTTTCTGGGAATGTTTATCGTAAAAGTATTTCTCTTAGTCAGTACTTCTAAAGGATTCAGTAATATGGTTTCCTTTCCTTAAGATTACAATGAAGTAATGAATTTGTCATTATTTTTAAACCGAAAGTGTTACCTTTGTATGAGAAATTCGGCACTTTTAGTTAATGAAAAAGCTTGAAGAAGAATATGTAGAAGTGCTTACCAATTTTTATTATTTAATTTATTCTCGCTGGTATTTGAACATTTCGACATGGTGGTATTGTTGGACAATTATTTACGAAGAATGTCGCTTCTATTCGTTAATATTTCAATTTTGTCATACTCTCTGCTTTTTTGTGTTATACAGTGCAGACCGGAGGTTAATTATTAAATAACATAAAATGAGATTGGTTAAGGAATGTTTCTTCTGATATGATTCAATATTTCAGGGGTCAATGTCAATATTGTGCCGTGAATAGGAAGATCGTCAACTCTGTCCAGTTCAGTAGTCTAAATATTTACATGAGCGAGACACGTAGAATAACTCCGAAGGTTTGGAATTTGTGAAAATTAAAATCTGGGCGGTTCGGTTATTTGATTTCGAAACTTTTGGAAACAGGGCTCGTCGAGACTTATGTTCTCGTGACTAATTGCGCGGTTCCAGTAAATAAATGTATCCGTGAAAACTGTAATTACTGAGTGTTAATCCAAGTGCGCGTACGTGGCCATATCCCAGTCGAGAAACTCAAACGAATTAGAAATAAAAAGTGTTTATGTGCTCCGTTATCAACGTACCGGAAAACTGGACGAATGCGTTTCCAGGTCACTTTGACAATGAGATATGAGTAATGTTTAAACATCGTAAGAGCCCAAGATGCCTGAAACCATTAAGAGCACATGCGAGCATGTGACGAAAGTGCATATGAAAAAGTGCCTAAGGGACCTGATTTCAGCTGTATGAAACACAATTCGAGGACAACAATTTCCAGAGATTTGTAGAACCTATCCATTGTATAATAAATAAACGTCCCATAATCGAGCAGCGTCTAGAAGGTGCATTGAAATCGAATTACACGCGGTAGAAATAAATATCTGCATCTCGACTGGAGAGGGAAAATCGGAGAAAGTTTCCGAAAGATTGCCCAATTTTATTCTTAATAACAATGAGGACGTGGAAATAAACAAAGTAGGAAGAAATATGCGTTGAGTTTGAATGCAAGGGTTCGCGAGATATCGGCCGAAAAATCGGGATCCAAGATGGCGATGAACAGTCCGGGTGGATATCCGAAATCCCCGAAGAGCCCGCGACAGCTTCCCCAGCTCCCGGTGTCGGTCCAAAAAGGGAATTGCCAAACCGGTCAAAAATCCCCGAGCACCCCTCGAGTCTTCGAATTCCCCCCGGAATACTATCCGGAGACTCCGAACAGGAATTTCGACTTCGAGGACTTCGCTAAGATCCAGGACCAGCAGGAGCCGAAGAGCCCGAACGAGTACGCGAGCTCGGTACACTCCTCCGGGAGTAAATCGGCGATATTCCAGTTCTGCAACCCGAGGAAGAACGGCCAGAAGGCCCATTATCTCCCAAAAAGTCCTCTAAGTCCCGGCCTGACGAGCAGATCTCCAAGTTCCTCGAGTTTCGGCCAGAAGAGCCCGAAGCCTTTCGACAGACGCAGGAACTCCTGCTTCAGCTTCGGACCCAGAAGTCCGAGGTCGCCGACGATCGTCACCCAAGATGGACGAAGTCCTATGTCGCCCACAATCGTCACCCAAGATGGACGAACTCCGACCAGCCCTAAATATCCTGACGTCCAGGACGTCCAAGACGTCCGGTCACCTAGGGAAAAGCGGAAGGACCTCGAGCAATACCCCCAGGAGGGTGGGAAATTTTATACCGCCGGAAAGAGTCCTGGACTTCGCCAGGACAGGGACAGCCCGAAGAAGACCACCATGGGAGGCCATTTCAACCGAAGCCAGGGGTGCTTGAACGAGACTGCGAGAAATGATGAAGGGGACTCCAAGAAGACCGAAAAGGCCATGGCCAGGAGGTCCACCAGCGATCTTACCGATAGAGGAGATGCCGATACCGAGGTCACCGTTCTGTCCAGCCCTAGGAGGAGAGGGTCCATGAAAGGAGGTCTAGGTATACATTAAACCTTCAATTACCGAACGCCACTGTAGTACTTCCCTTCATTCCCATGTACCTGTTCAAAACGATGAATATCGTGTTCATATGAAATATCAGCACTCCTTGGTTACCTGTAAAGATGGTACATCTACACGTTCGACTCCGTCGTAGTTAACCCTTTCTTCACGAGCGCCGACTTTAATCAGTAACAAATTCTGCTGTATCTGCAGAGTATCTTTTGATCGAATTGATCCGAATTGGATTAATCATCCTAAAAGTAGATTTTGAACATACGTAACACAGTTTGGCCATCGAGGAGACCAGCTATTGGGGTAACTTTTAATTTCTTAAAAGCTTAAGGTTAGACTTTTATTTGGAAATTTAATAATGGAATGATAGGACAAAACAGTTGTTATTTAACCCCTAGGCGACGTGTACATACAAAAAGGCAGTCAAGGAGGTGTTGTTCAGGTGGAAGACGTAAGTTCGAACACCGAAGACTGCCGAACCGCAATGTGCACCCTTTTGGCACGGTGTCGCGTTCAATTGTGAGCGGACTGCCGTAATGAAAGGGTTAAGGCGATGTGAAAGCGACGTCAAAGAGCTCGTTTATGAAACTTTTCTCCGGACTTGGTATACCGAATCGTTTCAAAACTTGACAGTGTGATTGTGGAGGCTATAAGGAAGGTCCTGACACCCATAAAATTTCCATTTTTTTACAATTTGTTTATTAATATTTTCAAAATTTGTAGCAAAAAATGAAATTTCACGAGTGTCAGGACCTTCCTTATAGCCTCCATGTTTACGTTGTAAAGTTTGAAAAGATTCGGTACACCCAGTTCATTGAAAAGTTTCATGAATGATTGTGCTTTCGGATGCCACTTTCACATCCCCTTAAGGGGATAATAAAACGAATGTTATTTATGTTTTAATTATCATGGATAATATAATCACTTCTAGTTTATGTCCGGGGTTTTGCAGACTGCATATAACTATGTCTGGATTTTTATTTAAAAGAATTGTTACATATGATATTACGTACAGCTTGACCTTCATCGCTGAAGGGAATCTACATTTCCTGCAGTAAATCCCTTTCAGCTCTGTAATCGGATAAATACGACAGTGAAGTAATTAAGAATAGCAATTTCCTTTTGAGATGTATTATCATTTTCAATTCCGATCAGAATCGAGATGTAAAAATGAAGTGCCGTTTGCCCTGTGTGCGACATTGTTAAAAACAAATCCATAAAAAATTCACTATACGTGTATTAGATGTTTTATTCGAACACTGTATGTTAAATTTATATTGCTCTTGTGAATATATTTAATATACATGATTTTGAATTTTATAAAGTAATTAAAAAAAAAAGATAAAATGACATAATTTCATACATTATTTCATACACAAATTTATATACTTTGTATGGTAATTTAAAGCACTATGGAGAATTGAGACTAATGAATTTCTGGTGTTCGCAATAAATGGAATGGCTCGAAAATTTAATTCTTAACTGAAGAATTTATTTTTATAAGAACTTGTCATTTGTCGTTTTACGTCACACCACTGCATTTCCGTGAATTTACGTCACTTGTCGTTGGCTCTTCCCTCGTGACAAGAGGTGATGTTTAAGATGACTTAGGAAAGTGACACTTTATTGGCTGCATTCCGTATTGCAATTAGTCCCCGTGACATTGTCGTGCTTCACCGCTGACTTGTCAGATTAAAATAAATCCTGGTAACATTGTTTCGCTCTATTGACAAGTGTCCTAGCTGACCGCACATTTTGGGATAAAAATCGCTAAATCTTGACCCCAACGTCGTGGGGGATATTTTTCTAGTAATTTTGACCCATCAAATTATACTTTTTGAACTGTAATTTATCAGGTAAAACATCTGAGCCTACTCGATAATAAAGAAGCTGCGACATTGATAAGTTTGAACTAAATAATAATTGGTATTGCAATTGCTTCGTAATTAAGTGTTCCAATTCTACAGTTTTAAATATTTATTTAATTATTTCGGTAAATAGTGGAATCAAATTTCTTACATTCATGTGATAAAATTTATGTTTCTGTATCATTGCAAGTTAAGATCAGTACTGAATTGACATTGAAATCTGCAAGTGGTTAAAATAAATTATGAAGTTACTTGTATCTTTTCATTTTGCACGAAACGCTTCTCTAGCGTTTGTACGTTAATCGGATAATTATTAATATTTCATGGCACAATAATTCCCTTTTTATTAAATATAACAGCTGCGAACTCCAAACAATACTCAAGCTCCATTCGATTGTTTCATGTAGTAGTAGCTATAATTTTGATTATATTTGTTCCCCCGTTTCGAGTTAACCGAAACCTGCCCCGAGGCCATTTACCAATATCAGAGTGATAACAATCCAATGTTAATATCCTCTTCCTCGACTTTATTTGACAAAGTCTCTTCGTAATGAAAACGCGGAGGCATATTTTCAAAATCATATATCTAACAATTTCAAATGTTACCTTTGCCAAATTTTTCAAACCATCGATATCGCATTCATTTCTAAGCCACAATTACAGTTTCCATTGATTAAGAAACTAATACATTTAATAAAATTATGAAAATATATGAGGACGAGTTTGCAACGCAACAAACGCAGTTTCGTGAAATTTCCGGAACAGCTTTACGCGCATTATGGTTTAGTAATGAATTAAAATCTTGCAATTTGATAACATTGAAAAGAAACAAAGTACCCCAAGTGTGGGGCACGGTGAAGCATTTGCATTGCTTATATGCATTTGCACATATAAAAGCAATCAAAGGTACTGGAACACATAGATAATATTTAACGGTATAATAAAAAGTCCACTTAACAACATGAACTTATTTTCCCATGTTTCCAAAAACTAAACTTTCAAACTAGTCGTAGACTCAAATTATTCCCTTCCGTTGTGCCCCGGTCTTTCTTAAACGAAGAAAAAAAAAAAAAGAAAAGCATCGGACCAAACAAACAATTTCTTAGAACAGCACCAAAGAATTCTTTAGTCAATTTCAAGAATAATTACTAGATTAAAATAAATCGTCATAATTGGGGATAAATGTAGCGTCTAATTTATACGAGTTTACTTAGGTGAAATGATTATTCGTTGAATTAAACGAAATATTTCTTTGGTGCTATTGAAATTTTCCTTTCACTCACTGTTTCTCTTAGAGTGTATACCGGAATTTTGAAGAGGTATTTTAAACAGCGCGGCTCTTAAAAATATAGGAGAGAGGGTGCGGTAAGAAAAAGAAGTTGAAGGGGTTCGGCTTGCAAAGGGTCGAAGCGAGATGGGCAGCTGATAAATCTGATCTCTGCCTTAACGAACTATCGGAGGCTGGATAAGCGTTATCAGCTACGAGGGAAGACCGGGGTGGCCGCGTGACGAGCCTGCAGAACGGACACGCGGGATCCAACTGACATTATTCCTTTCAATTTCGAGTCCGTCCATTAAGCTCGGGGTACGTCATTCGTGGAGACATCCTTTATTCCCCCGAGGCCACCAAGACCGGCGATATCCGCAGGATTAGAGGCATTATCGACGCCGACGTGTGCGCCAACCCGAAACTGACAAATCTCTCCGGGATCCCTTTACCGAAAGAACCGAATCGACACGCAATCAGCCGCGACTTCTTCCTCATTATCGCCGCCGATTTCTTTTGGACCATCTTTTTCGGAGAACCTTACTTTTTTTTTTTCCAATAATGAGAAACCGGGGGATTTAGGGCGACGGGAAATGGAACTCTAATGGGGTAAAGAATTTCATGGCAATTTTCTTTTCTTTTATTTTCGCAGCATTGAGTCTGATAGGTACCTTTGAATGGTGGGTTGTTATTTTTAAATGTTGGCTTCGCTCCCTGATATGATCCCCCAAATGAGAGATTGCAGCGATGGAAGAATTGAATTCCAACCGAGTCATGAATTTTGCGTGCATTTTTTTTTTTTTGGTATTTGTACGGATTTGGTGGCAATTTTTTGTTGTTTTATTTTCGCAGGATTTAGTCTGATAGTTCCCTTTGAATGGTGGGTAGTTATTTTTAAATGTTGGCTTCGCTCCCTGATATGATCCCCCAAATGAGAGATTGCAGCGATGGAAGAATTGAATTCCAACCGAATAATGAATTTTGCGTGCATTTTTTTTGTATTTGTAAGGATTTAGTGGCAATTTTTGTTGTTGTTTTATTTTCGCAGGATTCAGTCTGATAATTCCCTTTGAATGGTGGGTAGTTATTTTTAAATGTTGGTTTCGCTCCCTGATATTATAGTCCCCCAAATGAGAGATTACAGCGGTCGAATTCAGAGCGATGGAAGTATTAAATTCCAACCGAATAATGAATTTTGCGTGCATTTTTTTTTGTATTTGTACGGATAGGAATTATGTATGTATGGGGCCGAAGTGCTTTATCAGAAGAACCGAATCGATTCGCGACTCGACACGTAATTAGCTTCCGCTTCCTGCTCATTATCACCGCTTATTTTCTCGGACTATCTTTTCGGGAAACTTACTTTTTTCCGACGATTAATATCCTGCGATGTCGGTGAAATTTGGGGCTAGTGGAAATTGAATTGTAATGGAGCAAAGGGCTTTTTTATTGATGTTTTTTATTTGTACGGGGAGATGTTGTATAACTCTTTCGAAGACTTTTCGAGGCTCGGAATGCAAACTCCTCAAGGGATTCCAATATTGGAAGAACTAAATCGATTCTCGAGTTGATAGCCGCGAATTCTCGTTATTACTACTTTTTTGCTAGGCACTTTTTTTTGGGAGATTTTATTTGCGAGCAAAATGAGATTCTTCAAGTGAAGAAATTCAATACCGAGTGGAATTTAGGGCGATGCAAAATCGAACTCTGACGATGCAAAGAACGGAGTAAAAGGTTTTGATTCGATTTTTCGTTTGTGCGGAAAGAAGTTGTAGAGCTATTGTGAAATATTAAGTCCCTGCGAGATTCCTTTATCAGAAGAACCGAATCGATTCCTGATTCGACACGTAATCGACCATCAATTCTGCCTCTTTATGGCCAACAAATTTTGCGAAGCCCTAGTTTAGGGAATCCTAGTTTGGGAGCAATTTCATTACCGATTGAATTTATATCCATCAGAATCCTGCGATGAAAGTACCGAATTCAAATTAATTTTCCTTTGTTTCGTAACGAATAATTAGATAACCATTATAGAGCGTAAAGTCTCTGCGAGATTTCAGTACCGGAAAAACCAAATCGATTAGCGATTTAACGCGTAATCAACATCCTTGTATGATATAACCACGTATGAGGGGGCAAACAATGAGAAAAGGAGTGTAAAGCAGAATTAACTATTCGCTAAACTGCATTCGACGTGAACTGGTCTCTTGCAATTTGAAATTCTTTTTCGACTACTGTGATACTGATCAGACCGAGGGGCTAATCACTTGAAAATCAGGGAAAAAGATTTCCTTCTCCGAGAGCCGATTGCCTTTGATTTCATATTATAAACAACAATGTAATTCTGCAACTAAGAACGTTCGACCTTAATTTTGTGACAGTGTTCAGTAATTTGCGATTTTCAGCTGATTTCCCCATGACTTCGAATGAACCGCGTTGCCGACATTTATATTTCTTCGCCCTCTTTTGTTTTAGATTTATCCATTACAATGATCCGAAAGTGATATCTGAGGGGGTCAATCGTTTATGAAATTTTCCTCCGAATTGAATGTACCAAATCTTTCGCAATTTTTAATCTATTTATAAACACTTTCTCAACTTCTGATAAGGAAAATAGATTCCATGGGTGTCAGGACCTTCTTTAGGGCCTATATAATCTTAACTATTCCATGAGTATGTCAGAAATATAAAAAGAAAAATAGTGATCAAAGAAAGTTGATTCCATTAAAATCCATGATTTCCTGAGCGAATACCCCGTCGGATCAGACCCCGAAAAATAACCGAATACGAATTACTTATGTAATCAATTTCACTGTACTGTAAATAGGCGAAGAATCCTAAATAATTCATAACATCCAATCACCTTTCCAAATGATGTTATCAGACATTTGGCACAATGACGTCCAGCGAACATAATTCAGTCTTTGTTTAAACTGGTCGAATAGGCTCGCAATTAGGAGTGATTGCACCGATTGTACAAGCTACGCGATTTACCTAGGGACGTACATACCAACCTCGTAACTTGCGGGTTCAAATCGATCACCGATTAATACATTATTTTCTCTGCAACAGCGTATTTGGCTTCACGGCGTGGCTCTCGGGACAGCCAAGCATCGAATTTGTCGAACATCAGCAACGAGGGTGTTGGTCCTTTGAACTTCAGTGCACATCCACGAGGACGACAGAGAAGGACGTCGAACTTCTTAGAGCTGCCCGGTGAGCTTGATTTAATCTTAAAAATATTAGAAAGTAACGATACTAATTAACCCCTTCGCTACTAATGGCGACTACAGTCACCCAACGCCTGACGCTCGCTAAGAAGTATTTCTTTTTCATTTTTTTCATTTCTAAGACATTGCCCTTTGGAATTCTAATTGTTTATATAAATACAAAACACCCAAAGATACTTCTATAGCTGCTTTTCATCTTGAATTAATAAGACAAATTTCACGGAAATACCATAAAGACGATTGTAAACAAAGCGATCCTGGATGTGCGGATGAACAAAACGAAAAGGCGGATTGAGGAAGGGTATTGTTTGTATTAAAAATGGGGTGCAACGACAAACGCATTACCAATGTAAGATATGTGACGTAGGGTGTACCCGTGCTTTGAAACTTCTCATATGAAATTACATTATTAAATTATACTTTCTAGTTGCATTGTAAATAAACTTATTTTTTATCTGTTATGCATTAGTTTTCTGGAATTTAAGTAAAGCGTTAATGATTTACCTCACGTCCCTAGACGTTATATGATACGTTCTCTTGGCAGTAAAATTTAAGGCCGTCTTTTTTGGGATTGCCCCATACCGAGGCAGCGCTTCTACGAGCCGATCCACCATAACAAAAAAGTTAACATATTCGCGACCGGCAAATTGTTTCCGTTTCAAATACCAAGTACCGGCGAAAATAATGATATTCTGAAACTGGTTGCCGCAAATTTGTATCGTGTATCGTTATGGACGTGATTAACGTCAGCGACAATCAGGAATAGAATTTAAAATGACGTGAATTCACATCAGCGACAACCAGGAATAGAACATGAAAAGACGTGAATTCATGTCAGCGGTCGCGAATGTGTTAAGAACATTTTGAGGAATTTTAGAAATTAGGAAGTAGCCTTATGGTTGAAGTAGGTAATCAGGAAGAAGGAAGCTTTCTCCTTTCCCGGGAATATTCACCTTTGCGTGCGAAACGTCCTTCCATTACAGACACTATACATCCACTCGTAATCGAGGTAAATCTAGACATACTTTGATGCTCCATTGATACAGCCATTTGCCTGTTTAACCACAATAAATGCCACGGATACTGGTCGATATAAAAAAAAAAACATCTTTGCTTGTTTCGCACGATATGGAGCAACTAATAAAGTGCGACATGTTTTTTCTTTTTTTTTCCCCCACGGAATCTAAAGTAAAGAACTCACGATTCGTACTGGACAAGTTAAGTTGATATTTAATTTTGAATGAAACAAAGTTAAATAGAAAGGTTGTACTTTTTAACATGGGTTGATCCGTAAATCCGTGCTGTTTAAATGTTCAACATTTAATGACGTATTGTTTTCTTAAGCGACAGATCGAGAAATTGCGTGAATATTGCGAAGAACCATGAATGACAATGGAGAATATATTATTGATTAGCATTGCTAAACTTTACTAATTGGAATGGAATTCTCTTCAGTACAAACGACGAAATGTTGCGCGATTGGGGACCGGTTAACAAAATGTCTTGTTATTAGAAAATTATTAAATTAAATTATCCCGGAGTTAGAAGAAAGATTTCGGAATGGAATGTTGTTCTCCGATAGTTTTTGCAACAATGGAACTTGAGAATCTGATCGATAGGCGAGCTCTTTACCTTCCTCGGATCTAATATCGTAAACTCAAGTAATTCATTCCTTGAGTTAGGTCAGGGCCGGACACTTGCACAAGACATGTATTGACGTTTTGTCTTACGTGCCATTTGCACTGGTAGAAAGTTACCGCCTTAATAAATGGGTGCAATTTAACCCTTGTGAAATCACTCGATGTATGTATCAAAGTATTGTAGTAATTAAATCGTTACATAGGTTAAACACTACATAGAATTAATTATATAATTCGCCTCAAACCGACGTCAGAATAATATCCGTATAAGTTTCAAATCTGCAATAAGAGATCCAATTATTTGTTCTCTGCCGTTCGGAAAAATTAATGATCTAATTTTTCAATGCTCTTCCTGCATATTATTTGGATTATTTCCTGCACATGAAGAGTACTCCCTTTGAAAAAAGTTGATGCATGGGGAACTCTTGAAATACTTGCCTAACCGTAATACGTCCATTTTGTGAATTACGTCCTATATTTTTTTACTACCAACATGGAGTAACGTACACAATGTGTACATAAGTAGCGTAATAATTCCGCGGTAATTGTCATTACAGTGAATGACTAGGTACAGGGAAGAAACGGAAAGTTAACATGTGGCTTAAAACCGCACGTTTTTCGAGGAATTATTTTAACAAACGTTTAGCAAATTAAAAAGCGATACGGTAATAATGAACTTTGTTAATTGCTTAATATTTCATAGATTTTCATCAAACTCGTCATGCATTAGATATCTTAGGGTTTTATTATTTAAAATTAATGTGGATTATTTTCAGAAATGTAAAAGTGTACATATTTAGATATTCCTATTTGTGAAGTTTAATTAAATGGTGAGATTGCTCCACACCGTTTTCTTTTTTTTTAAATGGGCTAATTTATAACTTGAAACGTAATGGCGTTTCATTTCCTGGGGAATGTTTCATTTCCTTGAATTTTTTTAGCGACCTCTTCCCTACTGGGTTACTTCCTGTACTTAAGACAACCCCTGGAGAAAGCGAACACGTGCGCACTGCTTTCTTTTCCGAGACCTTCCTTCTGTAGATTACGTTTCTTTCCTTTTCTCCTGACGCAGAACCACGTTACTTGGTCACATTGACAGAAGTGCATTAAAACGGGAGTAATTTTGTTCTCAAGAAAGGGACGCGCGCGCCTCATGAGATTAACACTAATTTTGTTACAGTCGGAAGAAGTTTCTTCCATTAACTACATTTAGACAAAAGCGTGAACCTTTAGTCGATTAATAAATATATTTTACAACTCCCAGCTACTTATTCAATTATTTCACAAGCTTTAACTTCACTTAGTTTGAAAAACTTTCACCGGTATTTCAGAAAATCCTTTATAAATTGAAATGAAATGACGTTTAGACCAATTTCGTGCAATTTAAACTTTTCGCATGCGCCTATTATACGAATGAGTTTTTCTTAATTTTCTACTTATTTTTCCTCCTCGAGCGTACAAAATATTTCTTAGATACTATGCAAAGCCAGAAAAATTAGTAAGGGCATATTTAACAATCTAATCCAGTTAAACTAATAAACTCGAATGAGTTGGATGCAACATTTCCTTGGAATTATGAAATTCTATTTCTACTCATCTCTTCTCTGAATTAACAAAATATTTTTATGACACTATTCAAAGAAATGCGGATGTTTTTAACCAGAAAAAAAATAGAAAGGGCATGTTTAACATTCTAGTCCAGTTAAACTAATAAACTCGAATGAGTTGGATGCAACATTCCCTCGGAATTATGAAAATGTATTTGTATTTATCTATGCTTTGAATTAACAAAAGATTTCTTAGATACCATTCAATGGCAGGAAAATAGTAAGGGCATATTTAACAATCTAATCCAGTTAAACTAACCGGAATTCTGGCTCTTATATTTTTTGGTTGAATTCCGGTTCCCTTGACTTGACTTTTCCGATGTGATACGACAAATCGGTGAGTTTCGCGAGGAGCGCCCCAATTGATCGGCTCCTGGAGGCGCCGAATGAAAAGTCGATCTACGGATCATCGAGGCGAAAATCCTCGAGATTCATCGGGAATTTACCACACCTCGTTCACGAGGAATGGGCCGAGCCGCGATACTTCCGGAATTGCAAATTCGCAGGGCTTCATCGATCTTTCTCAGGGCTGGAACTCGCACCAGCGGACAGCCTCTCTCTGTGGCTTGTGGGGGGAACGAGGCCCCCCCAACTTGGGGGCAATCTCCACCGGGGAAAACGCCTCCTTTGAACATCTGATTTTCCCAAAAACCAGGGTTTATCCCCTGAATCTCGAATTCCGACGAAACTCCCGATTCCACTGTGTGTAGATCGTTCCTAGGAGTCGCTTATAAAAGAAATAAACCGTGTACTCAAAAAAAAAGAAATAAAGAATCTAGGTGAAAAAACGAAAATTTGGGTTACTGTACCTGCATTGGATTGTTAAGGTTAACAAAATATCCCAGTTAGAGTAAGATTAAGGTATTTTTGGAAATCCTAAAACCTTGTAATGCCAAAAATGTTTCGATTCAAAAATGGATCAGCTCTCTGATCGTATATTTTGTTATTAAAAAAATCTAATGCCATGCGGTCGGGCATGTAATACAAATTTACAAATACGTGCACCGAATGCACATCTCACGATTCCCCCGATCCTGGTTTTCTCCCTTTTTATAACTAAGGTCAATTTATTAGATGCAATTTTCTAAATACATCTTAACTCGATAAGGTTAACAAAATATCCCAGTTGGAGTCAGACTAAGGTATTTTTGGAAATCCTAAAATCTTGTAATGCCAAAAATGTTTCGATTAAAAAATGTTATTATTAAAAAAATCTAAGGGCACGCGGTCGGGTAAGTAATATAAATTTAAAAATACACGCATCGAATGCATATCTCACGATTCTCCTGATCCCGATTTTCTCTCTTTTTATAACTAAGGTGAAATTATTAGATGCAATTTTTTAAATACATCTTAACTCGATAAGGTTAACAAAATATCCCAGTTAGAGTATGTTGAAGGTATTTTTGGGAATCCTAAAACCTTGTAATGCCAAAAATGTTTCGATTTAAAAGTGGCCCCACTCTCGAACCCTGGATGTTGTCAATAGGGAACGTAATGGCAGGCGGTCGGGCATGTAATACAAATCCAAAAATACGTGCACCGAATGCACATCTCACGATTCCCCTAATCCTGGTCTCCCTCCTTTTTATGGTTAGGGAGGATTTATTCGATACTCTCCCACTCATAGACTCCCGGCAGCGCTGCGTGAAAACGTTTCCAGTATAAATTCGTACTCCATGGGAGATAATAATGGCCTGCAACAAGTATTTTCCATTAAACCTTGCACGGCTGGACGA